ATTCTAGACACTCATCCTTTGTCAAGCCTATAGTTTGCAAATATTTTCAGCCCCAGTCTATAACTTCTCGTTTTATCTTTTCCAGTGAACCTCTATGGAACAAAACATTTTTAATTTTGATGAGATGCATTTTATCAGTTTTCCTTTCATGACTTTTGGTGCTAAGTCTAAGAACTCTTTGGCTGGTCCAAGATCACAAAGATATTCTCTGTTTTGTTTTGTTTCGTTTTGTTTTTGTCCAAATGCCTTATGGTTTTATGTTTTACATTTAAGTCCATGATCTGTTTAGAGTTAATTGTTGTATAAGCTGTGGGGTTTAGGTCAAGCTTCATTTCTTTGCCTGTGGACATCCAGTTGCTTCAGCACTATTTGTTGAACAAGCTGTCCTTCCTCCCTTAACTGATTTTGCACCTTTATCAATAATCAGTTGCACATATTTGTGTGGCCCTATTTCTGGATCTTCTATTTCATTAATCTTTGTGTCTCTCCTTCAGTCTTGATACTGTAACTGTAGTTTTATGGATGTTTAGACTACGTTGTTGGGGCATATAATTTAAAGAATTATCTTCCTGGTAAACCAATTTAGCATTATGTGATGATCTCCTTTATCCGTAAAATGCTTATTGAATTAAAGCTTATATCATCTGCTATTAGTTTGTTCTCCAGTTTTCTCTCAATATACATTTTCCTTTATTCTTTAGTAATGGAATTTATGACTTTTAGCTGACCACAGACTACCAAGAATAAGTCAGGCATGGCCATGAAGTTCTGGTCAATGGAATATGAGCAGAAGTGGTAAAGCATCCTTAAAGGGAGATCAAGCGACCACTTTTATCCCTTCCTTCTTCTTGCTGGCTGGAATATGGATGTGATGGCTAGAATGTGAGCAGCCATCCTGGGCCAGAAGGTGGAAGCCATGTACTAAGAATGGTGGAGCAACACAGTACAGAGAGCCTGGATCCCCGGTGATTGAGGGGCAATATACCCACAGCTGACTGCTTATGTCTGGATTTCGTTTTTGTGATGAACAAACAAGCTTCTAGCTTTTGTAAGCCACTGTTAATTGCTGCTTGTTACCAAGCCTAATCCTAACAAATACAGACAGCTTAATTTTTGTAAAGACTTTTTTAGGTGTACAAGAAAATGGAGAGGAAGGTACATGCAGAGACTTGCCATATACCACCTGCCCCCACACATACACAGCCTCCCCCGTTATCAACATCACTCACCAGATGGTACAACTAGCTTCATATTTGTTTTAATTAGGTGTGCTTGTGGTAACAGAGACCCAACTACAGGGACCCAGACACATCTGAGATTCATTTCTGTCTTGGATAGAAGAAATCCAGGGCTGGTGAGATGACTACATAGCCACCAAAGACCAAGTCTTCTCTTTCTCTTGTCCTTGATTCAAAGCTTCCATCCACAGGATCACCTTACAGCCCAAGAAGGCTGCTGCAACCCCAACACTTTTGCATTTAGGGTAATAGACAAGAAGAAACAGAGACCAAAGGGGCTTTTCTTACTTCTCTGCCTCTTAAAGGAGGCTTCACACAGGCACCACCCACCAAATTCTGCTTACAACTCACTGGTCCAGAAATCAGTAACACAGTCACAGCCAGCTGCACAGGAAAGTGGGGAATACGGTCTATGGCAAGTACTGTATTTGAATAATATCAGGGCACTGATATTATGGGAAAAAGGAAGAATGGATATTGGATAAGCAATGAGAAGCCCCTGCCACATCTGGCAAATATGTCTCCACATCTTGACTGCAACATTTCTGTGCTTATGTTTTAGGCATGTATCATATAAGCAGTAAGTTAATTAAACTTTGTTTTAATCTATATGGCCAATAACATGTTTATGTTTACTGTGATGCTGTCATACTTGGATTTATTTGTAACCTGTACTTTGTGCTTCTGTGTTCATTGCTTTTTCATTTTTTTCTTCTTTCTCCTTTTTCTGTCTTTTATTAGATTAAGGTTTCTTTCCCCCTTTTCCTTTCTACTAGTTTGGAAGCTGTAGAATCTCCCTCTACTTTTTAGTAGTTAACCTTAATTTTTTTTTTTAACAATCATGCAAGAGCAGTCTAAAATTAATGCTTTATTCCTCTCCTCCAGACAATCCAGGGAACTTTTCTGAGTACCCTCTTAACCAGCATGTTGTTTGTTATCATGCAGTGTTTTAGCTTCAACTTGCTGTAAACCCACTCAATACGAGTCATTACTAGTACTATTTTATTTTACAGTAATGCTTACTTGGACTTGTCTTTGTTGCCCAAGTTGCTTGCTCACCACTGCTGCTTGTATCCACTTCCTTCTCAATTCAACTGTCATCTTTTTGAGATCTCTTTTAATAGGTGTGGGAGTAGTGAACTTACTTGGGCTCTGCCTGAAAATATCTTTATTTTACTCTCATTCCTTCATGATAGTTTGTGTATAATTCTGTACAGAGAGGTAATTTCCCTCAAAACACTGAAGATGTCATTCTCTTCTTCTGTTTCCTGATGTTGCTGTTGAAACCCTCGGTCTGTCTGGCTATTGTTCTTTTTTGGGAATCTGTCTTTCTTCTCTGGTTTGTCTTAAGATAACCTCTTTGTTTTTGCTATATACCATTTCACTATGGGATGTGCAGATGTACATTTACTTTTATTTCTCTATTCAGGACTTAGGTTTCCAGGACATGAGGATCTGTGTCTTTGGTTGTTTCTAGAAGCTCTTGGCTATCACTTTGCACATTGATTATGTTGTTTCTAGTCCCTTACTGTGGTTAGATGCATGTTGGATCTCATTCTGTCCTCCGTATCTCTCAGCCTCTCCTTCATATTTTGTTCATCTGTGTCTCTGTGCTATGTACTGGGTTGTTTCTTCACAGCATGGTTCTAGTTTATTGATCCTTGCTTTGCTGGTATATTCTGCTTTTTGACCATTTGTTCAGTCTAGAAGTTGCATTTGGTTCTTGTTATGCCTAATACTTTGTTCTTATGGTTCTGATTCCTACTTCTATGTTCATTTGACTTCCATCAACCTATGTTGTAACTGCTAGACTGTTGTTCTTTTCTCTCCGGCTCTTGGCTGCACCCGTCTGCAGTCCTCTCATTTCCTTCTGCTCACTCTAGCAGGACAGTGCCTTGTAGGTTTTATCATTTTACACAGTGAGGCATCTTCTGGGTTTTGCTGTTTTCTCTGAGAGAATTCCGTGTGAGGAAAATTGACAGTGCCCGAAGGGGGTGGTTTTGCCTTTGTGCCTGCTGTTGGCCCCAGGACTTACCAGCCTGGGAGCCTGGGGTCTGTTGGCTTGGCAGTGCCCCCCAAGTGAATTCAGGCTTGGTGTGAGTGGCAGGTACAGCCATGGTCTTTTAGGTTCTCACAGGAGACTTCTTTTATCCCACGTGCATTTCCTTATTCCCTTCCTTCAGTGGAGGGTAGCTCCTTGTGGGTGGGTTTGGGATTCTTCAGTTCCCTGTCCTCGCCCCTGACCCTGGATCTCCTTCCTGACGTGTACCTGTGGAGGACCCCAGCCCCCAATCAGCGGGCCCCGTGACCTGTCTCCTGTCTGTAAGTGTATGTTCAAACCTGAGGCCGGGGCTGTTTTCAGGCACATTTTCCCTTCAGCCGCCACAGCGCCCTCCTTTCTGGGGCACGGGGCATTTTCCTTCTGTCCTGCTGTTCATCCAGGCAGCAAAAACATTGGAATACATTTTATCCAGCATTTCTAGGCATTGGTGGCTACAGAGTTTCAGTTTTCGCTTATCTCCTTCCTGTTTGAGCCAGAAACTGTAATTTCCCTAAGCCTCTGTTTCCTCCTCTATAAAGGAATAGCACCTCCATCATGGACATGTTGTGAGGGGTTAAAAGAGGAAAGCAGGTAAAATGCTTAGCATGGGGCCTGGCACCATAGGAAGTCAGTAAATATGAGTATCTTCATTGATACAGTAGAAAATTTGGAAAGTTTGGAGATGTATCAGGAAAAACCGTACTGTCCACTGGAAATTATGGATTTCCATATGGATTTCGCACTTAATAGAATTCTAACTATTCATATGTATATCTACACATGTAAGACAAAAGTAGTACTGTACATACAACTTTGCATCTGCTTTTCTCATTTGATTAGTGTCTTATTCGGGTTCATCCACCACAATGAAGTACCAGAGTGAGGGACTTAACACACATCTATCTTGTCACAGTTCTGGAGGCTGAAACTCTGAGACCAGGGTGCCAGCGTGGTCAGATTTGGGTAGGGACCACTCTCCTAGCTTGCAGATGGCCACCTGCTGTCTGTGTCCTCATGACAGAGAGACAGAGACAGAGAGAAGTCTCTGGTCTTCTTTACAAGGGCACCAGTCCCATCACGAGGGCCCAGCTCTCATGACCTCATCTAACCCTAATTACTTCCCAAAGGCCTCATCTCCAGATACTATCACACTGGAGGTTAGGGCTTCAAATAAGAATTTGGGGGCCACGGGGGCAACTGGATAGCTCAGTGAAACATGTGACTTTAGCTCAGGTCATGATCTCACAGCTTGTGGGTTTGAGCCCCACAGCAGGCTCTGTGCTGACAACTCAGAGCCTAGAACCTGCTTTAGAATCTGTGTTTCCATCTCTCTCTGCCCCTTCCTCTCTCTCTCTCTCTCTCTCTCTCTGTCTCTGTCTTTCAAAAATAAACATTAAAAATTTTTTAAGAATTTTGGGGACACAATTTAATCTGTAGCTATCAGACTTCTCTAACAGCTGCCCCTCAGCTTAGAAGCCTGTCTGTGATCTTTTAACAAGAATAGGATTATCAGATTCAGTCTTTTCCATTTGAATCCACCTCAACAGGAAGGGCCAAGGGCTTGATAACACAGTGAGGTCCAGAGAACCTGTGAAGTGTGTGTACTTGGGGTCTAGGGAATAAATTCTGAGTGTTTCTGCCGGAGACCAGCCCCCAGGCAGGTGCCAGGCCTGAGTGAGCCCATCTTCTCTGCTCCCGCCCCTATGTCCTTCCCTCTGCAGGTCATGATGGGATTGGAGCTTTCTCCTCCAGTCACTTTCCAGCTCCGGGCTGGCTCTGGACCTGTGTTCCTCAGTGGCCAGGAATGTTATGGTAAGTCAGAGCTTGGACCTGAGGAGGGTCTGACTACAGTGCCTCACAGGGCACCAAGGATGGAACAGGTATTCTTGAATTATTAGAGAAAACCTCCAAAGGCACCGTGACTACTGGCAGCCTGGACTGGAAGTTCTCCTTACCTCTCCGCTGTGTCCTCTGTGGGCCACAGTCCTCTTGCCTGGGACACGAGGGTGGGGGTGGACTTGGTTTCATCCTCAAAGAGCCGCTGTGAGGAGTAAATGGGATCCTCAGGGAGAAGCAGTCTGCATGACTTAGTACTAGCCTGCACGTAAAATGTTTGGTGCCGTGAAGTACGTAGCTGGAGGAGCGATATGGACTCTAGCAAATCATGTGCTGTTGACTCTCTTAATATCTTTCTCAGCCCAGTTGTGCCTCTGTATCAGGGTACTGTTACCCAAAAACCCTGGCGGGCTCCACTTCCCTTAGGATGAGTCTAAATTCCTTAGGGGCTGTTTCCGTTTCCTCCCTTCCCTCGTGCTCTCCGCCCACCTTCACACTCCTCTGACTCCCTCCCAGCCAGAGCCACAGCTTGCCACCTCCCTGCCATCCTCTGCCACCCCAGCTTTCTGGGGTCCCGGACCTCTCACCCCACCCAAGCTTCCACTTTGCCAGAAAGGCCAGAAAGGGTCTGTAGGAGTTAGAAGGTGCTGGCTTCCCCAGGGCAGCTATGAGAGCAAGACCAATAAGGGAGCAGAAGCTAGGCAGGGACCTGAGCTCAGGGTCCCTGCTCCCTTTCATACCCTCATAGACACTTCAGACCCATCCTGGGAGGAGGAGGAGGAGGAGGACGTGGAGGAGGAGGAAGAGGAGGAAGATGACAGCGATGACGACGACGATGATGATGTCGATGTAGATGTGTCCCTAGAGGAGGAGACCCCTATTAAACAAGTCAAGAGGCTGGCATCCCATAAGCACACAGGCACTGCCAAGGTGAGGGAGAGACCGCCTTTCTCCCCTGGCCAGGCTTCTCAGAAACCTTGGCCAGGCCTCCTGAATTGAGTGTGCCTGAGTGTGCAGAGGCCTCAGGCCCCACCAGGTGCTCAGCAGGAGGCTGTTCTGGCCCTGGACCCCGCCCTAACTGTCCCCATACTGCTTGTGTTTGCTTCTCAGAAAAAAAAGGTGGAAAAAGAAGAGGAGGCAGTGAGGTAACTCTTTCCATCTGTTAACGCGGCTGAGATCTTAGAGCTGAGGCCTATAGGGCAAGAAAGAGTCTGGCGTGTGTACACGTGTATGAGCACTCAGGTGTGCTGCTGCTGCTGCTGCTGGCTCACACAGCCTTTCTGGAAGGCATCAAAATATTCTTATCTTCCGACCTAATTCCACTCATGGCAACCCTTTCCCAAGGATCCAATCCAAAATGTAGGGAAAATCATATGCACAAAGAAACTGACCACTGCATTATTCAAGCAGTAGTGAAAAATGGAAGCATTCTAAGTGTCTACCAATATAGTAGATTAAGCTGGGTCACATTTTCCCGGTGGAATGTGACATAATGCCTATGAAGAATATAGCATCCTGGAAAGTGTTTATAGAATTAAAAAGAACAGGATCTTAAATCCTGTTATTTCACATGTTTTTAGAAGAAAAAGCAAAAACTCCTGCAAGGAAACGCACCAAAATGTTAATACTGGTGGGAGGTAAAGAAAACAAGTAATTGAATCTCTGTTTGCTATATTTTGTGCAATGTAGTTAAACATTACTTTTGTAATGAAAAAGACTTATTTGTGATAAATAAAAGAAAGCAGATGGAAGCCTAAGAAGAAAACACCTCTTGCTAAAATAAGAGAGTCAGAGTGGTCCCGGCAGGGGACAGATGGAGAGCCTCCTAGCTCTCCAGATCACAGCCCCTTGCTTTCCTGGAAGTGGCTAGGGCCCTGCTTTCCAGTGGGCACTACTGGTATCCGGCTGAGCTCTCTCTCTTTCCCACCCTCATCTCCTCCCCCGGCCTCATCCCACCCTATTTCAGACCCAGCATTAAAGACAAGAGTCCTGTGAAAAAGGTGAGTGCTGGGAGAAGGGGCTGGTCCTCCCAGGGGCGGAGGGAGGGAGCAGGACACTGGTGCCCTCCCTTCTCTCCATAGGCCAAACTCACACCCAAACCTAAAAAGCCGGGGTCCAAGAAATGAGGAGCCAGGAGTGGCCTGCTGTCATGACCGAGGGAGAGCCAGCTAGAGCACCATGCAGTGTGACCTTCCTCGGGGTGTGCTGTGAGCCCATGTTCCCCCCACCCAACCTCTCTCCGTCTGAGTCTGAATGTGACGGAGCTGTTGGGGGCAACACAAGGGGCCCACATGCCAACTCTTGAGTTTCAGATGGACCTGGAGGGAAGAGCCCTGACCTCAGGGCCCCAATAAAGTTTGCTTTGCCTGGACCTTGTTTCTGACATCTGTTCCCAGGGGCCTGTCCTTCTTGCTGGCTGCAGTGAGCCCGTATGCCCGGCAGAGGGCGGCCATGTGCCAGCACACCCGGACCTGGTGGCCGACCCGCCACCTGGACTGAGGCGCCCCAGCCAGCCAGCTGGGTTCTATTCTGCTATTTTATCTTCCTCTCATGTCCTCAAACTCCCCAAAAAACAAGGGTCTCAACCTTTTGCCCAGCTTCAACTTTGTACCCTTGGCCTGAGGGAGTGAGCTCCACCCATTGTGGGTTTTCCTGTGTCCATCCTCCCTTCTGGCCTGTTTTCCAGGTATAGAGCCAAAGGGCTAGAGCTGCCTGCCCCCTCCGGGAAGGGCCTTGGCCTCTGTCAGACTAGCCTGGGGGTCTTCTCTCCTGGCCCTAATCACATGTGTTCATTGTCAAATGCACAGACAGGACATCCATTGGCACCTCGGAGGCTCAGGCTCCATACTAGTGCTGCTCTCCCAGGCTTGCTTCCTGTTCTGGGTGAGCTCCTGTTCATTTGTGTGAAGATCTGTGTCACACAGGAGCACAGAGGCCTGGACCTTCACGGAAGCCCTCCTAGGCAGGGCAGATGAGGCAGGCCTTGCAGAAGCTGTGGAGGGCCTCTTACAGGAGGTGGACAGGTAAACACTGAACCTTCAAGCTAGGGTTCCGCTGGGGCAGTTCTCAGAGCTATGGGCACAGGCCTCAACAAATTGTTAGGATGAGGCAACAGAGGATTGGCAAGGAGCTGAATGACCCATTGCATGGCTCTGGCCTCCTGCCCTCTCCCAGGCGTGCACAGCCACTTAGGAGCCTGGCTCACCCACTGTGACACACAGATGGCCTCCCCCTGGGGGTTATACTTGCAGGGCCTCTGCTGGGCTTTTCCCTGGCCCTCTCCTGCACCGCCTCCCTGGCCAAACCTAAAGTGGGCCAACGGGGAGATGGCCCTGGCCTCTCTCCAGGGTCCCCAGGCATGGGTTCTGGAAGGTCAGCAACCAGCCTTGTGTGTTCCTGTTCAGCTTCAGTTTCTCTTCATGCTGGAGGAGACTGAGGAGGGTAGGCTAGTATCCTTGCTGCTTGCTTCCTATACCCCAGGACACAGAGGTGGGCACTGGCCCACCCTCGAGCAAATGAGAATGAGCCACTGACCCACGGTCACCCAGAGAGCGACAAGGGACATGGGTTCACATTGGACTCCAGCTGGGAAGCAACCATTTACCATGGCCTCATGCCACAGTGACCCAGGGTAGACAAGACAAATTCTCCACCTTCAAGTCCCCTACAGTCTAGTGGAAACACAAAAGCCAACAACAAAACTTCAGTTACTGTCAAGTGCTTTGAGGGGAGTGAAACAGCACCTTTCCAGCCTGGAATTAGCTTATTAGGAGAGGAGAGAAAGTCCCTCAAAGGAGAAGACTGACAATAAGAGGGCAGCAGGCTCCACGAGTAGCTGGCTGGACACTCCCAGGAGCAGCAACCAAGCAATGCAATGGGCCGCAGGCACAGCAAGCAGAAAGAGGGTTAGTAGGATTCCAGTAAAACGTGCTGGGAGGTAGGCGCTGAGTGCCTTCCAGGACTCACTCTGTAAAGCCTCATTTCTCAGACCTGGAAAACGAGGCACAGACCAGTGAAACGACTTGCCCCCAAGGCCACAGAGCTAGTGGAGGAGTCACGTTCACCACCAGGTAGCCTGGCCCCATAGCTCTTCTCTTGAACCACTCTGGAATGACTGGGACAGACAGCAGAGCAGCCAGGGCCCTATGAAGTCTCATAAACTGAAAACAGTAGTTAAGAATGAAGTCCATGGTGTAACCGGTACCCTGGGGAGGGGCAGCCCCCAGCCAGTTATAGCAAAGCACAGATTCACACAGGTGCTTCTTCCCTTCACTTCACCGAGTCAAGTGCCCCAGCAGCCTGGCTCAGCCATAGCTCTGTGCGTAAGGGCACACAACAGCTAAGCCGTTCCTGATTTGATGTCCATATGCTGGCAGGCAGTGGGGATCAAACAGCAAGGATGGTAGGTGCTCTGAACTGGAAGTGTCCATTTGCCTTTTGCCCTGCTCCAGCCCCAGCCCTTCTGCTTTTCAGCAGGAAAATGGTGGGCTGGGGTCGTAGCAGGTGGTGACAAGTGGCAGGTCTGCAGGTAGGCTCTGTGTCTGCACCAGCTGGGCTGTTAGAGGGAGCAGGCGTGAGACGCCTCAGTTGGGGGGTGTTGAACTTGGCACTAGGGGGTGGGGATTAATCAACCAGCTCAGGCTACTTCTCACTTCCTTTATCACCTCCTGCCACCTCCCCCCATAAATGTTAATGAACCCTACCATTCTCTCTCCATCTCCTCTAGTCAAGGGAGTCAGTCAAAACTTAGGTAAACTGAGTCTGGACTGTATAGAAGGGTCTATGCCCCTTGTTTCCATTCTTGTGGCACTTGGTACTTTCCATGGAGTGTCCATCTCAGTTGATACTCATGGTGGCAGTTTTGACAGCACTGATAATAGCCATTTCCTTTTTACAAATTAGGAAGCTGAGACCAGAGAAGGGGAGGGACTTGCTGTAGGTGGTAGAGGCCGGGGCCGGGTATGGGGATAAAATCCATGGAACACTCTCCATGCGGCCTCCTCTCTCAGAGCCCAGCACTGGCCTTCCCATGGGGATAAAGGAGCAAGCTGAGTCAGAAAGGCAGGCCTGCAGGTGCACAATGAGAAGGGACAAGGAGCAGATGTCACACCATGAAACAGGCTACCCAGCCATGCCCCAGAGGCCCCTGGCACCAGCCCCTGGCTGAGCCCCAAGGCCAAGCTTGACTGCTGGCATCTGTTACCATGGAGACTCAGGCCTGGCTGGGGGGCTGTCCACTGACAACAGGCCCCTCCCCCATTGATAGGAACCAGGCACTCAGGCTCAAGAGTCCTGGAGTCCAGACAGCATTAGATGGGGCTCCCTAAATCTGCCTCCTTATTACATTCCATCCCCTAGCGCACACATCTACCCCAGAACCTCAAGGCAGAGCTATCTCTTTCTTGCATCTGCTCTTACCTGTCATCCCAGGACTGAGGGCAGGAGGAGGTAGCCTTTAGTACTCCACCTGGGAGCTAGGAGCTCGTGGAGATGTGGGTGAGGTCAAAGGCCTGCAAAGAATAGAGCCAGAGCCTGCATCAGTCCCAGCAGGAGAAATGGGGATTTCCACAAAAGGGGCAGAGTCAAGTCGAGCCCCCAAATGGAACAAATATGGAAGATGGAAATGGTCAGGAGCATCAACCTGGGCAAAGCAGAGATGTGGGACGGTCTGGGGCATGCTCAGACAAAGATGAGCACTGGACTGGGAGTCTGGGCACCTGGCACCTTGTCTAGTTGTGCCACTGACTAGCTCTGAGACCTTTGCTGGGCCTCATTAGTGAGTGAGGAGGCTGGACCAGATGAAGAACCTGTAAAACTCCTTCCAGTTTTGACATCCCTTCTGTTTGATTCCAGCCCTGGACTCTGCCAGTTACTGGGAGCTACCCCTGCACTCTCCAGGCCAGCTCAGGCTCAGCAGGGCCCTGAGTCCCTGCAGCGCTGGGTGGGGGGGGGGGGGGGGGGGGGGGGGGGGGGGGGCTAGGAGCCCGACAGCTGGAGGTGGCCAGGAGGTGGCCTTGGGGCATGTCTGGGGGAGGGGGGGAGGGGTGGCAGACAACTTTGTGGATTGATTTGGCTCTGGAAGGTGAGGAGACTTGGAGGTGAGAGTTTCGCCCTCCTGCTCATCTCTTTAGGTAAATACATCCACATCCAGCATTTCCCTTTCTGTTTCCATCCTGGAGGCACTGAGACCTCCAGGGAGCCCAGAGCTGAGGTGTGAGCTCCACTACCCTACACTACCCTCTGAGGAGGCTTCCCTCAGAGATCCCTCTAAGCATGCTCACCCTTCCACAGCCACCATCACCCACCTTCTGTAGGGAAGGAACCATGAGTCCCCGATCGCCAGCTTCTGGGACCTAGGTACTGCAGCCTGGAGGGCATGGATACAGCAGAAAGGCTCCAGACATGATCCACATGGACCTTAGGAACCTAGTTCGGCCACTCACTGGCTGGGCCATTCTGAGCTGACTACCCCCTCCCCGTATGGTTCAGTGTCCTCGTCTGCAGGATGGGGTCCTACCCACATGGTACAGAGCAGGATAGTACCAAAGGCCATGTGAAGAGGTTGGTGGGCACGGGGAGGAGGCCCTAGGGATGGCTGCTGCCCTGGAGAAGAGGGTGAGTGAGGCCAGAACATATGACACACTGGACATCTGCTAAGCCGTTATCTCTTTTGGTCCATCAGCATCCAGAGGCACTGCTGCCCCCATCTCTCAGACAAAACTGCTGAGGCTCAGAGGAAAGTTGCTTGTGCCAGTGCACCAGCTCCCCTGAGTCTGTCTCTGAGATGTCAGGCCAGCTTTTAAGATTCCATCGTGTGGTCCTCCCACAGCTGCACCTTCCTCCCCCTCCCTGGCCCCCAACCTGCAGCACCCACTATTTGCTGCCATCGGGACAGCCCTAACACCTCCATCCCAGTGGCCAGACAGCAGAGAGGGGGAGCAAGGGGTGACAGAGGCAGGGGAAGCAACCGCTTCTAGCCAAGCCCACCGCCTGCCCCCTGGAGGGAGGCTCCTCCTTTTAAGGCTGCTTCTGGGAATTTCCACCCCCGGAGCCAGACTCAGCAACCCCTGGCCCGGAATGATACCTGCGCTCACCCTTGGGGAGGTGGGGCATCAAACCTGAGGGCAGAAGGAGCTGGCCCTGGGAAGGGAGGGGGCACCCTCTAGTCTAGGTCTGAGGGTCACGAAAAACGTGGGAGACCACAGGGGCTAGCCTCCTTATCAAGAAGGCTCCACAGCTCCATCCTCTGTGCTCCGGTAGCCCAGCAAGAGGCTGGCAGCCCCCGCCAGCAGCGGCTGCTTTGCTGTCTCACTGGCCAGGAAGGTGGACACCTCACACCTCAGTCTCCCAATTACGCCCTCCTCCCCCATTCCTTCTCCCCTCCCTTCTCTCTCCTCCTCCTCCTCCCCTCTCTCTCCTCCTCTCACCCCTGAAAACCTGTGGCTTGAAGAGACCTTGGCTTCTCTGGGACTCTACCCCTGGGGACTGCCCATATCTGCTCCTGAGTTTGGGGGCAGGGGGGCAACCGCCCCAAGAAATCTCTCCGGCGATGGGAGCCACCCGCCTGCTGCCCAACCTCACTCTGTAAGTGCACTGCCTCTCTGAACTGAAGTTTTGTTGCCATTTGCAGCCTGGGGCAGACCTAATCTTACCGGGACTCCCACACAGAGGGGCGAGGGGAGGCAAGGGGGGGCCTGCGTGCTAGCCCTGGGTTGGCTGCTGGCACCCACACCAGGGTCTGCCTTGTCTTCCCACACAGGTGCTTGCAGCTACTGATTCTCTGCTGTCAAACTCAGGTAGGCGGGCGCCCCCCACTAGCTTTTCTCCATTTCTCCATCTCTCCCACCCCACCCAGCTGGTGGGTGTAGCCTCCTTTCGGTGGACAGAGGCAGGCTCTGGCCTCTCCCTGGATCCAGATGGGTTTTGAGGGAGGGGGCTGGTGTCACCCTTTGGAGGCGGGTAGAAGGGGCTAGGGCAGATGTGGGGATTGACTGAGGTCTGTATCTGTCCTCCCTCCATGACTCTCCCTACGTGTCCTGGGGTTTCTGCTTTTCTCTCCACCCCCCCCACCCCCTCACCCTCACCCCCCACTCCCGCAAGGGTTCCCCTCAAGGCTAAATGCATGGGGCAGCCCAGTCTTGAGGGATGGAGTCTGGAGTGGAAGAGGGCGGAGGTGGTGACTCAGGTGAGGCTTGTACTTGGAGGTACCTAAAAAGACAGGTTTTCATGCAAAACCACTTGTGTGTTCTACTTACTACCCCACTCCCACCACCACAGATGTCCTGGGGAGTCAATGTCCCGGGGACAGCGGGGCAATCAGAATGCTCAGCCAGGGCGGGGTGACTCCTTACCTACAGGGCAATGAGGTCAAGCCCAAAGGGGTTTGTTTGGGACAGGACTCAGGGTTTGCGTCTCCACACTCCCCCCACGCTATGTCAGCCCCCCCATGCACACACTCCCACCCCAAGCCTCAGCCCCCTGTGCGAGGCTCGGTCCCTTTTTGTGATCCTCCATAAAAGTGCAGCTATTAAAATGCACTGGTCCAGAACCGCTCTGGGGAGAGATCGCTTGGCTTTCCCAGGCCAGAGGCCCGCTTCTCTTCATATCCAGTGGGGACTTTTTTTGAAGGTAAATGCCTTTTCTCTGGGAGAGGGAAAGGGGCTGCCTTTGAAGCAGTGGGGGGGTGGGAGAGAGAGAGAGACAACTCCCCCCCTTTTTCTTCCCCCTTTTGCTCTAGCCCCCGTTCCAGGCCTTTTGCTTCACACATCCAAGGAGAGCAAGAAGAAAGCCCCCAGCCTGGCTGGGAGGGGGCTGGGGGTGGGCCCAACCTGTTCTGGAAGGGGAATTAGCACAATGGTGAGGCTGGCCGGGGCGTTTATGGCCTGGCTGAGGCCCCATTCAGGACTCAGGGAAGGTGGCAAAGCTGTCCTTTCCCCCTTGAAGTGCCCCCTCGCCCCCCTTGGAGGGGGGGCCGGCAGGCCGGACCATAGCCATGCTTGAGGGGCCGTCTGACAAGCAGCTGTCTGCAGCAGTGGAAGGGGAGGTCCCCCTGCAGCGGGAACATGAAAGGGACAGGCCAGGTCCCGCGGGGAGAGCGACTTGTGGGTTGTGGGCTGTGGGGGGGGCGTGGGGCTGCTTTTGTGCAGGGCCTGAAGGGGGACAAGGAGAGGAGGGGGCTTCGGGGGGGCCTCTCTGCTCCTGACCTGGAACAGACAGCCAGAAGGAGGCTGCCCGCCAAGAGGGGCGGAGGGCCTGAACCTGGGCCAGGAGATGGGGGCTGGGGATAGGCTGGACCCCTTCGAGGGTCCTGGGCCAGCCAGACCCCACCCCCTGGCAGGAAGGCAGGCCCTCACCCCAAATGCTGGCCTCAGGTTTTTCTAGGGTGGGGCATGGGGTGCACTTTGCTGCTTTGAATGTCCAGACCCTCCTCTCATAGGCAATGGTGGGAGAGGGGGGCGATGCTCCTGGTGGCACTCCTGGCCTGTGGCCTAGCTAGAGTCGGAAATGAGCAGTGACACACACACGAAGGGTTAACCTTGAGCAGGTTACAGGGTCAGCCTGGAGCTGCTCCCTCACCCACTGCCCCCTTGCTCAACGCTGATCCTTCCTGCTCCTCCCTCTTCCTAAGAGTGGCCCCTCACAGTTGAGCCCTGCATGTGCTGACAGCCAGCTCAGAGCCTGGAGCCTGTTTCAGATTCTGTGCCTCCCTCTCTCTCTCTCTGACCCTCCCCTGCTCACTCTCTCTCTCTCTCTCTCTCTCAGAGATAAATAAAACATTAAAAAAATTTTTAAACAAAAGAGTGGCCCCTAACATGCTGATCTGGGTCGAGGTCTGTCTAGGTGGTTTCCACTGGGCCTGGGATAAAGGTGGCCTTAGCGATCTAGAGTACAGAAAGTCTGCTCCAACACGGGCCAGTAGGATACAGGTGGAGATAGACACATTTTAGCCAAGGGTTGCTGTCACCTGCAGCTGAGAAATGTCATCTGGTTTGCACCTTCCTGGAGATAGAGGACAGGAAGTGGTGTCTTTTTCTCCCACTCAGTGTTGCAGATAGGTAAGGAGAGACAAGCCCGAAGAAGGTAATGGTCCTGGCTTTGCACCCTGCATGGGTGGAACCGGGCAGTCGGCAGACAGCAGTATCGCCCCCACTGGCCACGAGGCTCTGTTACATTGTGACACAGGCAGGCGGCTCACAGGAGGGCCTGGGCCACTGCTGATAGCTCCTCTCACTGCTGCATCCTCCACCTCCCTCCACTAAGAAGGCACTCACCCCTAAGTGGCGGGAGGAACACTGACTGAAAGGGGGACAGGGTTCCCTGAGGGTCCTGAGCAGCCAGGGGGAAAGGCAGAAGAGATGGGCATGAGCTCAGGATTCCACAGTTGGTGCTGAAAAGAAATGCTTATAGGGGTGTTGCAGGAGCCGAAACAAAAGGTCTTAGAGCCTCCATAATGCTCTCTGGTAAGCCTAACAGACCAGCTGCTGTATGCACGCGCGTGTGTGTGTGCACACGTGCACGTGTGTGTGCCTGTGCTGGGGGGTAGGATCCTTAAAGACCAGTGGGGAGGATGAAAGAGAACTCTGGTTATCCTGGCTAATGAAGCCAAGACCCTGGAGTTCTGGAGAAGGGACAACCTCCAGCCCTAGAAGGTAGAACAGCGCTACTGTCTCTAATCAGCTGGGTCATCCAGGGTACCTCTTTGACATGGGAATTGGGTACCATAACTGTGAAGCTTGCATCTAGCAACCAGAGTCATGATTCCAGATCTGCACTGCATCGCCAAGTGTCCCCCAAGACTGGGCAGCCACCAGTTCTCTGCTCCAGGGCAGATGGGGAGCCAAGGGGTCATGACTGGCTCACCCGCTGGCCTGGGAAGACCATGGCCATCTGCACCCTTCACCCTGCACCTCTGCTTCCCAGGACAAATGGCCTGCCCCCATCACACTCACCTACACACCCCTCTCCCCTGGATGGACCAGTTGTGGTGTCACCCAAAGCAAATTGACACTATTTTTCCCTTGGTAACCGCAAAGGGGGAGAATCACCCGTCTCCTAATTTTAACCAGTACGTGAGGGACCAGGGCGCCATGACTGACCAGCTGAGCAGGCGGCAGATCCGTGAGTACCAGCTCTACAGCCGGACCAGTGGCAAGCACGTGCAGGTCACCGGGCGTCGCATCTCTGCCACCGCGGAGGACGGCAACAAGTTTGGTGAGACCCAGCCCTCACCAGAGGCCTCTCACACTGCTGGCCGGCCTAACCTGGTCTATCCCCAGATCCTGTGCCAGGGCAGGGGCCACAGTGGGAGAACAGGGAGAAGCCTCTTGGAGGAGGGCTCTCGGTGGCCCCCACCCAAGTGCGGAGGTCAGGCTGGGGGGGGGGGGCCCTGCCATACCCCTGAGCCAGCAACCCCAATGGACAGAGGTCTTCCTTCCCCTCCCCCATCATAGCCAAACTCATAGTGGAGACGGACACATTTGGAAGCCGTGTGCGCATCAAGGGTGCTGAAAGCGAGAAATACATCTGTATGAACAAGAGGGGCAAGCTCATCGGAAAGGTGAGACCTGGAAGGAGGGGGAGTGGATTAAGGAATCAATGGTACTGCGTGCCCCACAACACCCTCACTCCCCTCTACTAGGCCCAAGCCAGGACTGGCTACTCACATACGCCAACACTAGGCCACTCTGGTTTCTCCATTTAAATGAGTCCCTGTGGGGTCAAGAAGCCCTCTGAGGACACTTACTGACCCATATGGATCTTCAGCTCTGATTTATGAGGTATTTCCCCAATGTCAATGAGTCAGAATTTTAGCACTTACATGTTTTAGCCCCTACATTGAGGCTTAAGTGCTGATCAGGGTTGAGAGTGGGCATTCATACAAGGCCACTAGTTTCCCCAAGGTCAGTGGGGTCCGCAGGATCCAACTAGCAAATGCACACTGCCTGCCTGCTTGTGTAACCACCCTGCAGGGGCAGGTCCAGCACTGCTGGGGGGAGAAGTCCACTTCCTTTGGCATTTGTCAATCCTGGCTTCCACTTCTGGCTGTTCTAACCAAATACTTGCTTACTTTGGTTAAGCCTCAGGCTTCTCATCTATAAAAATGGGCATAGTGTCAAGGTTATCTATAGGGTCAAATGGGTGGCTCCTGACAGTCTGTAATCTGTAAATATTTGCCCCTTCTTTTCATCAGAGAGTGTTGCCTCCTTTTCCTCCACCCAGCAGCACCATTCGCCCAGACTGAGGAGTGTGCTTGTGTACAGAGTGCCCACTGGGTATGCACTGAACTGCACAATAATCTTGATCTTTATGCCACATCTTGGGAAACAGGCTCGGCATGGCTAAACACCTTGCTCAAGATGTACAACTTCTAAATGACAAGCCTGTATTTAAGTTCAGATCTGACTCCAAGCAAAGCTTGCTCCTTTCTCCTACTTTTGCCTCTCTGGCAAAGGCACCCATCTCACCAGGCAGAAATCCTTGGGCACATATCTTCTGTCGTTCCTTCCTTGGTCCCACAAAATAGGCCCAAAAGGCAAATAAGCCAGACAGGCAGGGTGGACAAACTCCCCTCCTCTCGTTCTTTCCCCCCTCCCCGCAGCCCAGTGGGAAGAGCAAGGACTGCGTGTTCACAGAGATTGTGCTGGAGAACAACTACACGGCCTTCCAGAATGCCCGGCACGAGGGCTGGTTCATGGCCTTCACCAGGCAGGGTCGGCCCCGCCAGGCTTCCCGCAGCCGCCAGAACCAACGAGAGGCCCACTTCATCAAGCGCCTCTACCAGGGCCAGCTGCCCTTCCCCAACCACGCTGAGAGGCAGAAGCAGTTCGAGTTTGTGGGTTCAGCCCCCACCCGTCGGACCAAGCGCACTCGGAGGCCACAGCCCCAGACGTAGTCAGGGACACTGGGGGCAGCTGCCCCTCACCAGCCTTCCCATCCCCTTCCCCTCCTAATCCCAAGACTGGGCTGGGGTGGAGGGAGGGGAGTCAGAGCCCCCAAGGAGGACCCTGAGGACCTAAAAGCATCAGCGCCTCAAGCCAAAAGGGGCAGGACTGCCACAGAGCAGGGCTGGGGCCTCAGGGCCGCGGCCTCAGACCCCACACTGGGATAGGCCCCGGGGGTGGGGTGGGGGGGAGGGCGGTGACAGACCCCCAGGAGAGAAACTGTAGTGTTACCCTGGATTCAGGCTCCCTGAAACAGGCGGAAAGGGCAGCAGATTCAAAGCCTTGCAGACACTGTCTCGTGGTGGCTCTCTTTAAATTCTGCTCCCCAGATCTTCCTCAGTCTGCCCCCAGCCTCCAAATTCCTCCTGGCCAGACTGTAGGAAGGGACTTTTGTGTTTGTTTCAGCAAAAAAAAAGAAAAGGAGGAAAAATAAAAAAAAATAAAAGAGGGTTGGCCATTTTTCACATTCCACTACCCAGGCCTGCACCCCCATCCCCGACTTCGAGCCCCAGAATAAAACCATTTTCCTGCAAACGGGTTATCTGAAGGCGGGGTGGAGAGATCCACTACCAAACTGCACTGGTAACAAAGTCGCCTCTCGGGCAGCGCGGAGAAGAGCCCGGGCGAGCTGTGGAAGCCAAGTGCCCCGGCCCGGGCGTGGCTCGGCAGGTGGAGGGGCCGCGCGCGCGCGCGCGCTCGCGCACAGGGGGCGGCGGGCAGTGCCACCTGGAGGGGAAGCGGGCCGTGGGTCGCCCCAGGAAGGCCCTGCACCTCCGCCCCACGCGAGGCCCGCTGCCCGGGGCGGGCCCAGGCCCCGGGACCGGCGGGCGCGCCCCTCCCTCCGCGCGGGCTCCGGTTTCCTGGCTGGCACTGCGCGTCCCGTGCTACCTGTTGGGGCGAAGCAAACCCAAAACCTGGGGCCGGCGAGCCGCCGGGGCCGGGGCCGGGGCCGGGGCCGGGGCAGCAGGCCCGAGCGCCCACGGCGGAGCGGGCCGGCGCGGCGCCCGGGCGGCCCGCAGACTCTGCAGCCTCCTCGCTGGTAGCCAGATTGCTTTTTTCCGGTGAGGAGGGGGGATGGGGAGGAGGGCTCGGCCGAGCGGAAGGGGTAGAGAGGGCGAGAATGCGTCCTCTTGTTCAGCGGGCCCCCGCGGGGGGCGGGGGCGGGGGCCACACCTGAGGGGAAGTCGCAATTAGAGGCTGCGGGCGCGGCCGGGGGGAGGGGTGGCCGCCGCGGGAGGGAGGGGGAGGACACCCCACCCCCACCCCGAGCGTCTCGGGTGGGCTTTCCCAGACGCCTCCAGGTGTGCTTTTGGGGAGTGGAACTAAGAGGCCATAAGCCCGCCTCTTTCCTCCTTTGCGCCGGCTGGTAATCTTGTTGAGGAGGAGGCCCTTCCAGCACGTCTCCCCGCGCAAGCCCGCTCTTCCGCAGATGGACCCCCAGCTTCAGTTTCCCCTTCCTCTTCTTTCTGGGAATTGTTGGAGGGAAGGATTACGGAGAGAGAGGGAAAAGGGTGGGAGACCTCCCTTCTCACTTCTCCCAAGAATGGCCTAAAAATAAGGACCAAATGGGCAGTTGGGGAGGAGCCTGGTTTAGTCATAATGGGAGGTGAGTGAAGCAGCAGTCCAAGGCGGTGGGGGCCGGGGGTCCCCGCCTCTCTCCGGGAGGACGAGAGCGGTCTGACGCCCCCAGCTCGGGGCAGTTTTGAAGGCAGGAGCCAAGAGGGAGGTCCCGCAGGCCCGAGGACAGACATTCTCTCCCTCCCGCTTGTCATAATTGCTTTGCACCAGGTTGCTTTTTTCTCTCCCCCCTTCGGATCACAAAGAGCCTTAATCCTGGCGAAGACTGCGGGAGACGTGTTGGGGGTCGTTTTCTGGGGGGGTGGGGGGTGGAGGGAGGGTGGTCCGGAGCCGCAGCTGATAACTGGCGAGTTCAATGGGATTTTAAACACAGAGGCAACGCCCAGCAATTACCTGAGGACAAAGGGTTGGGCCCCCAGGTGTGGAGGTCTGGACTTGGGGGGCAGGGGAAGGGGGCTGGGAAGGAGGTGTGTTGGGGAGGGGGAGCTCTTACAATCCCCCTGATTTCCCCAGGAATTTGAGACATTCTTTAAAACTCTAGACTGCCTCCCCCCAGCCTGGCTCTCAGACCCACCCCACCCTCTCTGGCTCGGGTTAGAGACAGCTTCAAAGGTGGACCGGGCCTTTTGTCTTGCCTGGGCTTTCTTCTCTGCCTCTCTCCGGCCCCTCCCTCCCTCTCTTTGACCTCCCCAGCACAGACGGCCTCTGGGGGCCGGCTCCAGAAAGCCCTCACTGTTTCCTTTCTTGCTTTTTGAGGTGAGACCTGGTGGGGAGGGCCTGGGACTGGGAAGCGTGAGGGAGGAAGGCAGCTTCCAAGGCCTGTGCCATCTCAGAGTGCCCCGCCCCAAGCCCAGCAAGTCTGACACCTGCTGGTGGCCTTGGGTCCTGGCTTGGCTCTCGGAACCTTCTCCCCACACCTTTTAGTGCCTCTGCCAAGTCCAGGCTCCATACCTAGGGGGCCTCATCCTATGTAGTGAAGTCTATTCAGCTCATTCGCTCCGAACTGGGGGTGAGTTCGAAGATGCTAAAAGGAAGAAGCCAAAGGAATAGATCTCTGATAATGGGAGTCTCAAGAGATTTAATGTGTGGAAGGTGGGGTGGGGGGAAAAGGTTTCCCTGAGGACCACAGACCACCCCACACCTGGCTGTGGCCAACCCTGGCTGCTTCTGTGTGCCGGAAGGTTCGAAGCAAGTGTGCGTATGGGGGTGGACAGTGTGGGGGAAGACGTAGGGCAAGATGAGCGCATCCATCTCAGGGAGGATGTGACAAAGTGGAGGGAGGCGGTGGCAGGTGCCTCAGATCCTGTGCTGGTTAGGATTACCAAGACCTCCAGCTAAGAATAGCCTGCTTATTGATCTCCCCTCCTCTGTCCTGTCCTCCAACAGCCAGATGGAGCAGAGGGGGAAATCCACTCACTTGCTAGTCCTCACAGGCAGGCTTCTATTTAAATCACTCTGTTGAGCCCAGTCCCTCATACTTTCAGTGGCCAGTGATCTCTCTAGCTTCAGACCTGGCTGTCCGCAGCGTTACAGCCCTGGACTCTGCGAAGCTTTTCCCTCCATCTTCATTCCCTCACTGGGACCCTTCTCTTCCCCGGATCCTCTTTATAGAAATATTCCCTACGATTTCTGCCTTTCTCTTCTCTCCTTGTTCTTCCTGCTGAGTCCCAGCAATGCAACATGTCAGCTGTCACAGCCTTGCACACCACTGCTTTCTCTCCCACACTTGGAAACTGCGCCACACTGCCAGGCCTTGCTGGGGTCTGTCTCAATTACTACGGCAGCTTTCCAAGTCATGTCACTCCCTCCTGACACCCCCACCTCCTCCAGGACACCACACAGTTTGTTCCCTGACCCTACCCCACCCTAAGCCATAGCTCTGTCTGTGGTATCTGATCGCTGGTAGACCCCTTAGCATGGTTTTCAAGACTTCTGTACAGTCCTGCTCAGCCTCCCTTCCCAGCCCTGTCCCTACAAGTCCCCTCCAGGGAGTTCCAGGAGCTCTGGTTTAATAGCCAACCAGCACCCTGTGCCCATCTCTGTTCCTGAGGTTCCCACTGCCCAGCACACCTTTCTCGAGAATGCTTGCATGCCCAGATCGCTGCTGCCTCCTCTGCTCCATAGACTTGCCTCCTCTCTGGGGCTACTGGCAATCTCTGGTGCTGCAAGTGGCTCTGGCTGCCAACTTGCCTTTCCCTTATGGCATCTATCACAGCTTTCTGGAACTGTACTTATTTGTGCTTGTGTAATCGTTGTGCTACAAGGCAAGGGCCTCAGGTGTAGAAGTAGTAGGTCTTTGCCTCCCTCATAGTACCCAGTGCAGTACAGTACACAGAATAATAAGCACTTACTGAGGGAATTAAACCAACTGAAGGTCCAGAAACAAGTCATTGGCCCCACACCCTGTAGTCCCTCAAGATGCAGGCAGAATGAGAACCAGAATCCTGCCTCTACCCTCCATCCTTAGGTGGACTTGGGTGGGGTGGGGTCCTAAGCAGGTATCCAAATACTTATTTATCCCCTACAATGTACAAGCATTGTGCTAGCCCTTGAGCTGACAAAAAAGACGGACAAGATATTATGCCATCCCCTGTCAAGATCTCACACACTTGAAATGTAAGTGGGGTCATAAACCCACTTTTGGAAACTTTGGGACATTTGGAAATCTCTCTCATACCTAAGATAGCAAAGTGGCATTTGGTAACCCCCCGCCCCCCAAAAAAGAGGGAAAAAAGAGACAGGAGCTCTTGCAAACAGACACACTAATGTGTACAGAACTCCGGAGATATGCTCACATGTAATCCCTTTTTCAGGGGGTAATATTATTCCTATATCATATGTGCAAAAGTTCAGACTCAGAGATATTAGCTCATCTGTGGTCGCAGCTAGTGAGCAGTACAGTCTAAGTTCTAGCCCTTCTTCATCACCTGTGTGGGATGTTCCCCACTTATGGCCAGGCAGTGCAGGCTCCCCGGGGTGGGGACAGGGGGACACTGGGAAAGGCTGAGGTTTGCCTGATCTTTGAGAATGAGCAGGATTTCAGTTAGCTGAGCAGACATGTAAGGGGAAATATTAAGAGGGAAAACAGCATGAGAAACTGGAACTGAGGAGCGCTTGGGGTGGTTCAGTCAGTTAACTGGTTAAGCGTTGGACTCTTGATTTCAGCTCAAGTCATGATCTCACGGTTGGGTTCCTGAGTTCAGCCCCGAGTCAGGCTCTGTGCTGGCAGCCCACAGTCGGCTTGGGACTCTCTCTTTCTCTCCCTCTCTCTCTGCCTCTCCCCTCTCAAAATAAATTAAAAACATTAAAAAGAAAAAAAAGGTTTTGAGATAAGAAAATGTGAGGCGTGTTCAGGGGAAGGTGAGCCGTCCCTGGGTTTGGATAAAATTGCAAGTTTGCCTGGAGAAGCGGCAAGAAATGGTTGGATTACATTACAGAGAGTTTTGCAGTGGCAGTGGCAGGGGCTTTGAGAAGAAGAGTGACCATGCAGTTGTGGGGTTGGGGTTTGGGGGAGAGGCTGGTCTGGTGGCAGCACACTGTGGACTAAGGCTCTGGGGTCCCTGAAACAGAGGGTCCATGGCGGGGGGGGGGGGGGGGGTGGTGGCGCATGACTTCTAAAGTCTTTTGAGAAAGGGTTGCTTCCAGGCCCTCATCTTTCCCTTTATTCCTTTGGCCCAGTTCTTTGTCACCTTTCCCTTCTCCTTAGGTGCTTAGGTGCCCTCATCAGCCTCCCCAGGAGTTAATGTTTAGATGGCCCAGGCACAGGGGGAGAGTCCCTGGTGCTCCCAGTCCTAGCAGGTTGGTGCATGGGGCGGGGCAAGGGGCAACGGAGTGCGACGGAGAGAGTACAGAGAAGCCTATTGCACAGGCCTTGGGGAGGGGGCTGGTGGCAAGGCCGAAGTCCAGTCAGGACGTCTGGCACCAGTGATATTGCTGCAGAAAGGAGCCAAGAACTAGTTGTCTGGGGCCTGGGCCAGAGAGGGGCAGGAGCCACAGCCCCTGTTGTGGATGCAAGGGGCAATCCTCAAGGCCTCGAGGCTCTCCTGAACTTAAAGGTATGCTAGTCCCCTAAGTATATGGCTATGGCCAAGGGATGCCCAGAAAACCTACCCTGGGGCCTGGACAGTAGGCACTGGTGTTCAGTGTTGCCTGGCTCTAGGGAAAGACTTTCCCTCGCCTCTTATAGCAGCCTGAAGGGGAGAGAGGCAAGTATCTGGGGAGGATGGTGCACTGGCCTTGAGGAGTCTGGGGCCTTCCCAGGAGGAAGGGTTGGCGACAGGGCAAGTCTCACTGTAGGGCAAGAGGTGGAGGTGGAGTAGAGGCAGGTAACAGAAGGGTCTCCTGGCCTGGCGCTGTGCCCTCCCTATGAGCACCAGCGCGCGCATGCGCGCGTGCACACACACACGTACACACACACACCCACACACCCACCCAGGATCCCTCTCAGTAAGGAATGACCTTGACAGCTACCAGGTCGACAGAGGGAGCCCTAACTCTGCAGTCTCCTTGGTGCCAGGGCCAGCTGGTGGCTGACTGTTCCTGCCCAAGGTGGCTCTCCCACCTTGTGGAAGAACATTCCTATAGAGTCGGGGGCAGTGAGAATGGGCCTTGCAGGATTGGAAGACCCGATTTTCTTCTTGGTCAAGGAGACTGAGAGGGTTCAGGACTAGAAGGAGGTGCTCAGAGATAGCCGAAGTCAGATGAGGGGCAGATTTCTGGGCCCGAAGCCCTGTGTCTACCCCAGCCTTCCTTCTGGAAGCCACCCTCTGACCCTTTAACGTAGGTCATCCTCCCTGTTCCTATCACTCTTTCCCAGCTGCACACCAAGCTTTCTGGAATGGGGGACACTGCCCAGCACTGCCTCCCTCTGCAAGGCAGGACGGCTCTCTGGCCCTGAATTAGGGCTGTCCTGAAGCCATCCCGGGAACCAGCCCCAGAGCCTTATGGAAGTGGGGAGGGGAGACTCAGTGGGAGCCCTGGCCCCTGCCGCCACCCCACCCCCACCTCAGCACCGAGGCAGACCTCAGGCTGCCTCCCTCCATCACTGAAGAGGCAGTTGGAGCCACAGCCGCCTCCTCCCCCCTCCCTGCTGCCGCGGCGGCTGAGCCGGCAGGTTGTCTTGGCAACGGGAGGCGGAGAGGAGATGCGCCGAGGGATGGAGGTGTATGTCACCGAGGAAGCTGCCGTGCTCCTGCCCCACGCCCCAGGCCCTTGAAGGTACCGGAGAGCCCTCCCCTCCCCCTCCCCCTGCCCTTTCCCTTGGCTTGCCCCACTCTATCTGAGGAGGGCCTTGTTTCACAGAGGAGAATGCTCCCTTCCTCCCGGGCCCAGAGACTCCTACCCATTCCTCATGAGCTACCTCATTCCAGGCCCCCGTCCACAGCTGTCCTTCCCGGCACCAGCTCATTCCAGCCCTACCTCTGGTCACGCTTGCACCGGAAGACAAATCTCCTGCGGGGTGGACCTTTCTGGTGGGGGGCAAGTGGGAGCAGAGCAGGAACCGCGGTAGTGGGAAGAATCAGGGGTCCTAAAGGGCTCAGGTGGAAAAGCCCTGGTGCTTGGCCTCCTGGAGGTTTGGCAGCAGGGCCAGGGCAGGAAGGGTGGGTGGGCTTGAAGGGAGGAAAGCAGAGAGGCTGGCTGAGGCCCCGGTTACCCAGAAAGGCCTGATTCCCCCCTCCTGCCACATCAAAGGTACACCCCATCCTGCTTCATGTCCCGACCTTTTTTTCATGGTTAGATGTTTCTTCTCCCACCCCCAGTCTTTCTCATTCCTTTCCACAGGGCCCTCTCCCCAGCCACTCCCCAGCAGCTAAGCCTGGATTCTTTCTCCCCTTCCTCAGCCACTCAGCTGCCTGCCTTCTTCATTTCTCCATTCTTTCTGGAGCCCATCCTTCAGAATTCATTCTTCTGTCTTCCACTAACCCAGACACCCCTCCTTTCCTGTCCTTATCTGTCCCCTCCTGCCCTCTTTTCCTTGAGAAAGAGGTCCGGAGCACACTCTCACCTGTCCCCCTCAAGACCTTCCCCTGTGATTTTCCATTCAGATACCCCAGAGCCCCCTCCCCAGATTCTAGATTTCCCCAAGGACAGCTCATACCATCAGCTGACTGGCTGTGGGCAGTGGTTACCAGGGCAACAGCAAGGGCTGCCTAGGTAGGCAAGTCTGCTGTGAGGTGGAGAGGCTGCTGGGGCCACGGCCAGGGTCAGCCAACTGGGCTCCCTCCCCTGCCCCCCAGGGGTCAAAGATAACCAGGCTCTGCTCTGTACCCAGAGAAAACCAGCAGGCCAATGACAGGGTCTGGGAGTGGTGAAGGTTTTCCCAGACGGGTTGGGGGGGGCGGGGTACATCCTGTAGTTCTGTGCTGGGACCTGGGCATCACCTCGGAGGAAGTGCCCTTTTGATGAAGCTGCCTCAGTGAGAGATGGGGTTCTTCTCACAGTTGCCAGGGTTCCTGATTACGTTAAGGGCCAGCCCAGTCTCTTGTGCTGAGGACCTGGTTTTTCAGATCTTCCCATTCGTCCCTCATCAGGAGGGGGTTAAGCCTTCCTTGGGTGACCAATTCTGGCACCTTTGCCCTCTCCCTACCCCTGAGAATCTATACCCTTTAGCACCCCAGGGAGGCAGGACCCCAGAGGCCTCCATTGCTGCTCTTAGGCAAGGAGTAGGAGATACAGGTGCTGGGAGAAAACAGGTGTTGTCACCTCTCAGTTATCAGTAGAGCCCCCTCTGCCCCTGCCCCAGCTCAAACTCTGCTTATGAGGGGCTGACTATGTGATTGTGAGTGTGTGTGAATGAAAGTGTGTGAGCATGGAATGCTGCAGGGTTGGGGGTGTGGGAAAGGGAAAAAGGCCAACAGCTCGCCGAGTCTGCTTCCGATTCTGCTTCGTCATGATGCCGGGTTAATGCTTCTCTTGTTTGAAACGGATTGAGCTGCAGCTTTGAGCTAGGTGGAAGAGCACACACATACAAACACACACCCTCAGGCCGGCCACATGCTATCAGCTGGAGGTGGGGAGGGTGCAGTGGGGGAGCCAGCGGCCCGCCCGCCAGACCGCCAGACGCAGGCTCCAAGCAGAAGCCTGTGGAGAAGCAGGGTGGGGACGAGGGGGTGGGGGCCCAGAGGGTAGGTCCCCTCCTGTGCCAGCTCCCCCACCCACCCACCTACCCCAAGCCGGCTTTTTTCTTGCTATTTGTGCTCTGGGAAAACACGGCTGGGTTCCTGGAAGAGACGCCTATTACCTTGGCTCTTGAGAAAAAGCGACAGCGCTGGGATCTGGGCCTGGGCCTCTGCCTGCCCAGCCCAGTCTTGGAGCCTCAGAGCATCTGGGCAACACTGTCTGGGAAGAGGTAGGTGGCAGGGTCTCCCACCTCTCTTCCCCTCTCTGGGCACTTTGGGCCACGGCCCCTGTCTGGGAATGAGGCTCTGGGTGGGGGGTCTTCTTAGGAGGGGTCAGCTATGGCCCCTGTTCCGGAGGAGAAACCCCTGGACTAGCTGGGTTTGATCTCATCAAGCCTGATTTGAGGAAGAGGGCTGAGGTGTTTCGTGCTGTCACCCCAGTGCCCCCTTCACCTAGCTGTGCTGGACATAAGTCCAAGTGATGGGATTGGGGGGTGGGCACTGGGGTGGGCAGGGGAGCTGTTCTTTCTTTGCTGAATAACAGGAGGAGTGGAAGGGGTTGCCAGCCTTGCTCCTAATGTGCTGCAGGTTTTGAGGGGGGAGCACTACACATAGACACCTGAATGCTGTTGGTGAGGGGCGTGCTCCATGGGAGGAGGGACCTGAGGAGCCCCTTTCTAGCCCTTGGCTGGCCAGGCTGGGGTGAGAACCAAATGCAGCATGATGTTGGGTGGTAGGGTGTGGCCGCAGGCCTGACCCCTGCTCATTCCTGGACTGCCGCCGCTGAAGTGCTTGTAGGGGCTGGGGGCTGAGCAGACATTCAGGCCCTTGAGGATCCAGAGGCACCTCCTTGCCAGCCTAGCAGGCCAAGCCCCTCTCCCTGGGCAGATTCGCCTAGTGTTTCCCTCCCAAGGGACTGTGTTGCCAGGGTTTGAGAGTCAGGGGAGCACGGGTGTAGGAGAAGGCAGGCAGTCGTGCTTTGGGAATGGGGAGCCGGGAGGTGGCCGGGGAATGGGTGAGGGGGGGCGTACATGTGCACAGCTCAGGGTGGGGGTGTCAGCACACGATGCGAGTGGCTGTGAGCATGGAGAGGGCTGTGAGCATGGAGAGGAAGCGTGGGTGGGTGTGAGTGGGTGTCAGTAGCACTGTGTGTCACTGTGTGGGGGGCTTGCCGGGAGAGTGGGGGCGTGATCTTGCAAGCAGGGTGCATGGGTTCTGCAACTGTTTCAGTGTGGGCTCCTGCCTGTGTGGGCGAAGTGCTATGTCCACGTGTGAGTCTTGCCTGTGCTCCTGGCCTCTCTTCATGCTCAACACCTGAGCCAGGCTGTTCACCTGGGGGTGCAGGTCTGTAGGGATTCCTCTTTGAAGCCCGGGTGTGTGTGTGTGTGCATGCATGTGTGTAAACATCAGAGTAGGGATACCCTCAGAATTCAGAAAGCTAAATTCGGCACTGAAGACCCTTGCATCTCCCCCAGCCCTATCAATCCACTTTGTACCAGAGTTACCACAACGTACCAACAGGACCAGCTATAAGTAGAGGCCAGAGCAGGAGCACGCTGAGGACCAAGTAAACCTGAGGAGTTGGGGGGGTGCACAGAAAGAGGGGCCTCTTCAGAAGGAAGGTACAGAGAAAGGATACATCAACATAAGAGATCTAGGAGAAACTGAACGAAAAGATGGATATATTGGGAAGTGGGAAGAGCGGAAGGGGCTGCCTAGGCCCAGTTCTGCTGTGTCATCAGGAGCAGAGACGGGGCAGGGCCTTGAGCAGGTGGGTTCTCAGGCTGGGACCCAGATTCTGGGCCCAGCTGCCTGGCCCAACGCTTCAGCAGAGTGTGAGAGGGTGATATATAGTGTTAGTATTAGAGGAACACCAGCCCTAGTCCTAGCAGATAGAACAGGACTTTAAAAGTGGGGATGGGGAGAAAGAGAAAGAGAGAAGGGAAAAGAAGGCAGGTGCAGGCCTGACAGGTATTCCATGAACCGCGGCCCAGAGGTGGGAGCCCTCTCCTGCTCTTCTTGTACATCCTTCCAGGGCCAGCATGGGTGCCCCCTATGCACATGCACGTGTGCACATGCACACACGCGTGCGCGCGCGCACACACACACACAAGCACGCACACACCCTCAGGCCTCCCTGGCTGCTGCTGGTCTGCTCCTGCCCACTCTTCCCCTCTCCACCCCAGGATGGGATGCTGTTTTGGGAACCGGTGACCTAGCTGGATCCTTCCTTTATTTCTGGCACTGAATTGTTGCCACAGTAACTGTGGGGGTGGGGCCAGGAGTGGGACAGTGTGAAAGGGAAACAGAGCCAAGGGAAGAAAGATGAAGAAAGAGAGGAAAAAGGGAATGGAAAGCAGAAAGAGTGGAGAAGGAGCAGGGAGGGGCAAGGCAGGCAGTCACACTGCGAGTGAAACTGGAGAAAAGGGAAAGGGGCCAGGCTCCTGCCCACACTGACCCCAACCCTCTTGGACAACTCATTTGCCTCATTTCATAACTCACTTACTCTTCGCACCACACACATCCAGCCTGGCTTGACCCTGCCCAGGGGGCACAAAGCCCAGTCCCCCAGGCTCCCTGCTCCTTGCCTACTGGCCAGGCCAGTGGGCAGGAATCTGGGTGGCTCCACCGTGTAAGGTTAGCGCCATATAAGGTTAGTTAGCCCCAAAGGCCAAGTTCAGAGTGAAGTAGGAACTTCAGAGACCCGCTGAGAAGAGTGTCTATTGTCTTTAACCTGCGACAAGCCTGGGTAGGAATTCCAGCTTGACTTCTATTTGGGTGGCTTTTGGCAAGTTTCCTCATCTCTAAGTGGGGAAGGCTTGTGTGAAGGGTAGAGAGGATGTTATGAAAGTTCATGGCACAGTGACTGGCACAGAGCCAGCGGTGGTTGGCTTAGGATAGGAGCAGAGGCTGGACTGGAGGTCCTCAGCTGTGGTTCTGCCCTCTGAGCCTTCATTTCTACAAGTCCAGGGAGCCACAGCCGGGTTAGTCCTATTTGGAGGAGGAGCCGGCTGGGACGGGTGCACAGGTCTTATCACCCCCAGCCCAAAGCCGAGAGGTTCTTGTTGCCATGGAGATACACTGGTGGGCAGTGTGAGGTGGGGCTGGGCTGGTGGCTCAGATAAGGCAATGCTGCTTCGATGGGGGAGGGTGGGGTGGCGATGGAGGGAGGAGGAGCCCCGGTGTCTGATGGGAGCGAGCAGCTGGGAAGTCCTCTCCACCACCTGGGCTTGCCTGCCTCCACCGCCTTCCCTTCCCTTTCCTTCCATTCCACCCTCCCTTCCTGCTGCAGCCTGCCCTTTTGGTCCGTTCATAGGAGGTTGCTGGGTCCGAGGGAGTGCATGTGCATGTGTGTGTGTGGACACTGGTGTGTATGGAGCGGCGAGAATGGAGGAGGGGAGAGTGGGTGTTGACTTGGGAGGAAATTAGCTTTGGGGGAGGGGGCCACTTGTGGGTGGAGTAAGCAATTGCCTGCATGATGTGGTTTGAGAGAAGCCAAGAAACCCCTCCTTTCCTCCTTCTCACCCTCCTCCCTCACTCTCCCTCCTGAGAGAGAGAGACTCCACCCCAACGCATTTTTCCTTAAAATCTCAGCAGTAGGAACTTCACTTTTCAAGGCTAGGCCTAAAATAAAATGCAGTGCCCTGGGAGGGTAAGAGATCAGTTTGTCAGTGTGTTTTCTAACACACTGGGCACTGCCCAGCAGGCCCGGAAGGAATGTGGCTCAGGCTAAGGGAGAGGAGCCTCCGAGGCTAAGGGGGTGAGACTCAGCACAGGGGACTGCCATGGGGTTGTGGACAGCTCTAGAAAGGTCCTGGGGACAGAGCAGATACATCATTATTTTGAATCCTGTTTCTGAGTGGCTATGTCTGAAGGCCAGTGTCTGTGCACGTGTGAGTGTGGGTTCAGGGCAATTGTGCACTGCAGTGACGTGGCTCGTCTGGGACCCTTCCCCTCCTTCCTTGCCTGAGCAGTTACCACTCTGATATATAGTCATTGCCCCGTCCTGGACCCCCCCACCACACTCACACTGGTGTGCGCACACACACTGGTGCTCAAGGGGAGGGTGCCAGGGCCACCGCCAGGCTCAGCCTGAGGTTCAGAACACGTGGAAACTCTCGGTTTTCCCTGGTGGCTCAGCCATCCACACTCCCAACCAAACCTCTTCTGCTTTCAGCTTCCGCCCACCAACCTGTCAGATCTGCATATGGCCTTATCTGTCACTTTGCCTGGGAAAATAATGGCCTCCCAATGGGACCAGCCACATGCCTCCATGTTGTGGACACCCAACTTTTCCTTTCCTCTCCTTCCACAGAAGCCCTGGAGTTTTCTATCCAAAGCCAGCCCTCTGCTTGGGCCCGAAGCACTTGCCTCTCCCCTGCTGGGATCCCTCTTCCCTCCTCACTGCCTGCAAGCATTTTCAGGTCTCCCCTTTCTTTAAACACCTTCAGCCAATCTAGCCTCCTCCAAAGCTACTCTCCAACCCCCTCCCACCCTCCATCACACCTCCCTTGCCTGTGTCCTAGCCAGCCAGCTCTGACATGGGAGCCTCACTTCTCTGGGAATGCTCTCAGAGGCCACCAGACCGGAGAGCCTGCTCCCTGCGACACTTCTCGCCTTCTCTGGGCCAGGGACTCTTGGGTCCATGGCCTTCCTTTCTCAGCCCCACCCTCCCATCCTTTTGCTCCATTTTTATTGCACTCTTTCTGTGCAGTACATACACAGATAACCACTCCCTGCCCCCAAGGAGCTGGCCACTCCGTTTCCCTTCTCCCTTTCATGCCATCTGTGACTATTCTGGTCCCCTCGGTGTTTCCCAGGAAGCTGGTTTTAAACTTCTTTCTCCTTTAGCAACCTCATGTGCGAAGTACCGCCTCTAGTCAGATGGCTCCCAAATCTCTATTTCCAGCCTGCCCCTCCCTCAACCTCCCGTTCCTCCTGGAGGTTTCCATGGGCTCATCAACTGCACCCACCTCGACCTCAAAAAGTGAACTCGCTGCTTCCCCTCTGCCTCTGAGGCCAGCCACCGACCCCTCCCCTGGGGGCTTTCCAGATCAAGTCAGTTTTGCACATTGTGCCTCTAGGATCTCTCCCCTTTGCCTCCTTTCCATGGTGGGCCACACACCCAAGTTGAGGCCCTCACATGCCCCTGCAGGAACTGCCTCTGTAGCTTCCTGGCTGGTCTCTGTCCACGGTGCCCCTTCTGGTCCAGCTCATCTTCCGGGCTGCAGCCACATTCAAAGCACTGCTTGGGCCTGTCACTTCTTTGTTTAAAAAGTTTCCAAGCATTCTATGGCTCCTCTTGCCCACAAAATACTACTTGAATCTCCTGGTCTGGGTTGGAGGCCTCCATACTCTGACCCCTGACCTCTTGCTCCAAACATATATCAACCTTATGAGCTTTACAATTTAGCCATATTTGCTGTTCTCTAGTCAGATCCAGGCCTGCCCCACCCCCCCATGTCCCTCCTATTGCTCATGCTGCTTTATCTTCCAAGAATCCATTTTTTCCGTTTTTATATGAACTAAACTGGGCATTCAAGGCCTACCTCGAATACCTCCTCTAAGGGATCTTTTTTATTATTCCTTTTTTATTATTCCTTTCTCAACACCCCAGCAGGACTGATCCCTCCCCCTGTCACCTCTCACGGTTCCTTATATTATCTTATCTAGCACATGTAATTTTCTGCTTTGAGTGCGAGTTATCTACATACATGCCTCATTTCTGGAGGGGCAGCTTAGCTCCCCTGACTCATCTTTCTGTTCTCCATAAGGCTTATCACTGAGTGTTGTCTGTGGTTATTGGAGAATTAGGCACTTAGGAAGTATTTGATGAATGGATAAAGCAATATGTGACTGGGTAGGTGAGTGGCGGGATGGATGGATGAGTGAATAGGTGATGGATGAGTGGACAAATGAACGGATGGATGGATGAATAGGTGGGATGAATGAGTGTTTGGCTCTAAGGCCAAGCCAAGTATATAGCTAGTTTGACAATGGCTGCTAACACAGTAAAGATCAGAAAGGAGTGAAAGAGAACTAACAGCTCTTCAATAGGTATTGGAGTTTATTCTGATCCTCAGAAACCCAGTTAAAAGCATTACAAAGTGAGAGCTAAAAAGGCAAGAGAAGGATAAAACTCTGGAATGGAGTCTTCCATGGAAACCAAATACCTAGTGTGATTCCGATGGCCAGAGTCCTGTCTTGGAGAAGCCTTGACTCTAGAATTTCAAAAAGACTTGAGAAATGTGGCAGATTTTAGTCTATCCCCACAATGCATCTGACACAGTACTAGGCAGGCAGTTTGAGTCATGCCAATGCTGAAGACACAGTCATTTCCAGCTCATGACTCGAAAGATTTTAACCTCTTGGAGCCTCAGTTTTCTTTTCTTATCTGTAAAATGGGTCTACCTTTGTTGTTGTGGGGTGTGTGTGAAACAAAATCATTCTTTTAAAGTGCTTATCAGAGGCTCCTGGCTAGCTCAGTTGGTGGAGCATGCACCTCGACTCTTTTTTTTTTTTTTTTTAATAAATAGTTTATTGTCAAGTTGGTTTCCATATAACACCCAGTGCTCATCCCCACAAGTGCCTTCCTCCATGCCCATCTCCCCCCTCCCCCCCCACACCCATGAGTCCTCAGTTTGTTCTCAGCATTCAAGAGTCTCTCATGGTTTGCCTCTCTCCCTTTCCCCCACCATTTCCCCCCTTCTTCTCCCCCTTGTTCCTCCGTTAAGTTCCTCCTAATCCTCCTATACGTGCAAACATATGATATTTGTCCTTCTCTGCCTGACTTATTTCGCTCAGCATAACACCCTCAAGGTCCATCCATGTTGCTACACAAGGCCAGATTTCATTTTTCTCATTGCCATGTAGTATTCCATGGTATAGATAAACCACATCTTCTTGATCCATTCGTCCGTTGATGGACACTTAGGCTCTTTCCATGTTTTAGCTATTGTGGAGAGTGCTGCTATGAACATTGGGGTACGTGTGCTCCTATGCCTCAGCATTTCTGTATCCCTTGGGTAAATTCCTAGCAGTGCTATTGCTGGGTCATAGGGGAGTTCTATTGTTAGTTTCCTGAGGAACCTCCACACTGTTTTCCAGAGGGGCTGTACCAGTGTACATTCCCACCAACAGTGTAGGAGGGTGGATGCACCTCGACTCTTGATCTCGGGGTTGTAAGTTCAAGCCCTGCACTGAGTGTAGAGATTACTTAAAAATAAAATCTTTTTAAAAAAGTGCTTATCAAAGTATTGAACATGAGCATTCTAAAAATGGTATCTATTGTTAATTGTTTTTCCCTCCAGAAGTTAGCACTCATTCTGGTTAGTGAAAAAAAACATTTTCCAGCATTAGGCAAGGTATAATCAAAGTCAAAGTTATGCGGGTCTCTTTTTTCAGTCCCCCTGGAACTCTGAGGTGTTATGAGAAGGCCTAGAATAGGAGCATAGTAGCCTCTCAGAAGAGGAGGTCTTAGGACAGTCCCTGAAGGACAAGTGGGTTCTGGGAGACAAGGAAGGGGACAGAGAATAGTGGAAAGGGCGTTCACAAAAGCAGGGACATGGGAGTGAGGGCTGCTTTTGCAGCAAGCAGGTGGTTTTGGTGGTGGAAAGAGGGTGATCAGAAGAATGGCCAGATGGCCAAAGTAACAGATGATAAGATTGGGAGCACCAATGACCTCAGTCTTACCCCCTGTGGTAAAGAATGGCTACAGAAAAGACATCTAAGTTCACTAGCCCTTGGGGAAATAGAAATAATAATAGATAATACTTTACATAGAATTTATGTTTTAAGCATTTCACATTTTATAACTTATCTAATACTCAAAGCCACCCCATGACATAGATTCTATGACTATCTTCCATTTTACAGATGAGAAATGCAAGGCACAGAGAGAGTAAGTAACTCGCCCAACGTCACACAGATGTTGAGTAGCGGAGTCTTTACTCACCCATGGCACCCTGGTCCTGAGTTCATGCTCTCAACCTACATCATGCTGTCTCTTTCCTGTACCTTCTGTAGCCATCAGCTCTCTTCACTCTAAGGCCCATGGCCACCATGGCTGGAAAGTCAGCCAGGCATTCACTGAGTGGTTATTTTGTGTCCAGTACAGGCAGTGGGGGGATGAGAGGATTGCTAAGGGAATCAGTGATGAAGGGGAAGACATGGACTGTGGCCCCAGGGAACTCATAATCTCCTGTGGCAGACAAGACCCAACTCTCCAGGAACAAAGAGGCAGCAGTGGGGGCTGGGGTTCCTTCCTGCTCAAGCTCCGGGCACTGCCTTGTAGCAAAGTAGCAATTCAGAGGCATAGGCATTCTGAGAAGGCTGTGCAGAGTTGGGATGTGGCCTCAACCCCTAAGGGGGCTCTACCAAATGCGGAGACTGCCTGCTGGACTGGGACAGGGACACAGAATGTAGGCTCCCTCCACACTCCCCTCCCTGTTTCCACAAGGGATCCCCCAGCCCATGACCAGCCCATTTCACGCCAAGTCACGCCAGTTTCACTTCATCCCCTCCAAATCTGTCCACCTGATAGGTTCAGTAGGTCCCTCGGTGTTAAACCTGCCCGGGATTTGAGACACGGGGCATAATGGACAATGGATTGAGTGGGGAGAGAGACCGGAGCCAGCACAGAGCCAGGGAGAGAGGCCTTGGCTGAGGCAGAGAAGAGTGAGAACCAGGGCTTGAAACCGGACTTCAGCCCCAGGGCATGGCAGGTGTGACAAAGCAGGAATGTAGAGGCTGCACCGGAACGGGTGACCCCTGCAGTCATTTCCTTTCCCGCCAGAGAACAATGGCTCAAAAACAAGTGCAGCCCCTCCGCTTTTTCCCCGCCTCGCCGTCTACACGCGCGCTAGCTTTTTTTTTTTTACCAGGGGCCAAGCGAATGGAAAGCCTGAACCATGAAGGGCGCTGGCTCCCTTCCGCCCTGCTCTCCCGCGTTCTGGGAGATCTGGGGTCCCACCGCCCTCCCTGGCACGTCCTTCCCCTTCCAGGCCCGGCACTCGGTCACCAGCCGGGAGAGTCACTGAGGGATGAGGACGCCACAGCCCGGTGGAACGCACTTTCTGCTCTCGTGGCCCCGAGCGCGCAGCGCCCAGGAGCCAGGCAGAGCCTGACGCCCTGTCGTCTCCCCTCGCGCACGGGGCTCTGCAGGTGACCCGACCGGCCAGCTTCCTGCTGCATGGAACGGCTGCAGAAGGTGCGCGGGGGCTGCCCCCACGTCCCCGCGGTGGGCGGCCTGGGCACCGGGTGGGGCCAGGCTTCCCTGCCGAGGGTCAGGTCGGGAGTCGACGGTGCCACCTGGTGGTTGCCCGCAGAGCCGCACCTCGGCGCCCCAGAGGCCTAGGGAAGCCCTCCCTTCCTCCTCCCAGAGGAGAGCCCAGCCCTAGCCCGGCCCTGGCACGCACGCTCATTCCCCGCACGCACGCTCATTCCCCACCCGCCCGCCTTTCACTCTCCCCAGCAACCACTTACCTCCCCTGGGAGCGTCAGCTCCTCTCGAGGCTCCAGTGTTCCCGGCTCTCCCTCCAGCATCGTGGTGAGTACTTCTCAGCCACCTGCACCCTCAGGCTGGGACAGGGATGGGGTGGGGACATGCTGGGCCGCTTCACCCAGAGCCTCCCTGACGGTGGTCCTGCCAGAGCTGATGGGTAGAGAGAACCCAGAAATCCAGAGAAGATTCCCCACAGCCCTCTTCTCCTGGTCTGGTCCTGCCTCATTGTACCCAAAGTGCTAGGCAAAGGACTATCATTTTGTAAATGACTCTCTAACCTCTTAAAATTAAAATAATAGAATTACTAACTTGTAGGAGCTGACATCTCAAATGGCTGCCCATTTTCTTCCTAAGGCCAGTGTTCTAGGTGAGGCTTTTGGCACATCTGTTCCATTCACACCATTTCCCCATTTCCCTTCAGGCCAAGATGGACAATCAGGTGCTGGGCTACAAAGACTTGGCTGCCATCCCCAAGGACAAGGCCATCCTGGACATCGAGCGGCCTGACCTCATGATCTACGAGCCCCACTTTACCTATTCTCTCCTGGAACATGTGGAGCTTCCCAGAAGCCGGGAGGTGAGGGGTGGGAGGCTCCTCCTGGACAGGACTTGGGGGAAGGGCTCCCCCAGCCACACCGGGTAGGAGGTGGAATCCCTCTGATGCTTCCTTTCCTGGTGGCCAGACTCCAAAACAAGCAAAGGAACTGTGGCAGAAATCAACCAATGGTCATCCCAGTAATTGTGGAGAACAGGCAGAGACAGGCCAGAGGCTGGAGGATAAGCTCCATACCCAGAGCAGGGGAGGCCATGTTGGAATGGCAACCTCACAGAGCAGGTGGGGGAGGGAAGAGGTCATGGAGGGAAAGGGTGGGAGTGGACAGAAAAGGCGAATTTGCCAAAAGCCCTAGGAGAACTGGGCGAGGAGGCTGGAATTCCTAGCTGAGTGACCTACGTGAATGTGTGGTTCCACTTTCCCCTCCTATACAATCGAGGCAATACATCTGCCCTTCCACCTCACCAGCTATTTAAGTGTGAGAGATAACTCATGGCAGCTACTTTGTAAAGTGTGTTCCAGAAAGGGGTAGTGTCATCGCTGAGCTGGGGGCTGGGGGCTACTCTGCCGGGAGCCCAAACTCCGTCCTGGCTGCTTGTGGGTCCTTTTCCTTCCCCTGGGTGCTAGGCTCTGAGGACAGGGTCAGAGCCATCTTCGGTTGGCCCTCAGAGCACAAGCACACAGCTCCAAGATCCATGACTTCTTCCTACATCCAGAGAAAGAGAGGGCTCCGCCCAGGAGAGCACTAGGATGAAGAAGGATGGAGGGCCAGTGCTGGGAACTGGCAAGGACTGAGAGAGAAGAGATGGCTCAGAAATTGGCCGGGCAAGGGTGCAGAGTTGGGCGGGGGATGAAGTGGCCCTTCCGGGGCTCTAGGGGTGAGGCTTTACCCCTACCCTTGTGGCTCTGACCAGCCTCCTCTCCATCCGCAGCGCTCACTGTCACCCAAATCCACATCCCCCCCACCATCCCCAGAGGTGAGTCTGCCCCACACCTGACACTTGCCCGGCTCCCCTCCCCCACACATATGCAGAGCCCATGGGATGGCCTCATCCTGTCGCTGACCAGCTCTGTGTCCATCTGTCTGTCTGACCCAGGACCTCATTTAACCCTTTCTCCCTGGGTCAGACATCAGCAGCAGGTCGAGTCCTTGGATACCCTTCCTCTGCCCTGGGGTTGGGGGCTTGTGGGCTGCTAGGGTGGGGGGACAGAGACGGTGGAGTCAGGTGAAGCAGTGTCTCTGTGGGTTGGAGAGGGTAGGGTAGGGGACCTGGGAGCTTCAGTGAACCATACTTCTCTGCAGGTGTGGGCAGAGAGCAGGTCCCCTGGAACCATCTCTCAGGCTTCGGCCCCAAGAACCACTGGGACCCCGCGGACCAGCCTACCCCATTTCCACCATCCTGGTAGGTTTACCGTCAGTGTGGCTGCCCCCTTTCCCTGGGACCTCTTTTTTCCTGCAGGAATCCAAGCTTCTTACTGTCTCCCCCCCATTCTCTGGGGTATATGCTCACTACGGAATTGGCTGGACCCTCTGATGGCAGGACCACAGGCGGATCATGCCTTCCCTCCCACCCAACCAGGAAAGTGGGAAAAGTCCCAGTCTCCTGAGGGACAGCTCCAGGAACTCTGGTTCTGTCTTGGCTCTTGTCAGGAGCCTATGAATTTCCTGCCTTCTTCCATTCCATCTGTGCCTCCTCATTGGCCCGGTCTCGCCCACCATCATCATATCTTCCTTCTCATCTTCTCTTGCTCCCTGTCCACAGAGACAACCCGCCCAGATTCCAACATCTACAAGAAGCCACCTATCTACAAGCAGAGAGGTGAGGGCTCCCCTCACTGACCCGGGCCACTTCGCACCACTGGCTGGGGGGCCATGGGAGAATAGCTGTTCATAACAGCACGTAACCTCTGCTCTGTATTCTTTGCTGTGTGTTGTGTTTACACCTGCGGTCTCACAGGTGTGAAAGAGGACAGGAGAGGGAATTAGGGGCTGGGTGAGCCCGAGGTGGCCTGGTGGGGGGTGTGAGCTGACCCTGACCTTTACCTGCAGAGTCCATGGGAGGGAGCCCTCAAAGCAAGCACCTCATCGAGGACCTCATCATCGAGTCTTCCAAGTTCCCTGCAGCCCAGCCGCCTGACCCCAACCAGCCAGCCAAGATTGAAACCGACTATTGGCCGTGCCCCCCGTCGCTGGCCGTCGTGGGTAGGACACTGTGTTAGAGAGGGGAAAAGGAGGCCTGGGACACTGCTTCACAGTCACTGGTGAAGCTCCATGAACCCACCCTCTCCCCACACCCACCTCACGTCCTTCATGGCCCTACTGGCTTCATCATTCTTCCCTGCGTTCCAATGGCTTTTGGCGTACGTGGCCCTGCTTGTCAGGCTTTCAATCACTTTCCATTCATTTGGCTACTCGGTAGACATTTACCAGACGTCTGCCTCCCAGACTCTGTGACAGGAGCTCTGGGAAAGAGAAAGAGTGAGACAAGGTCTTAGTCCCCTGTGAATTTAAGTTGTGTGAGTGTGTGTTGCCTACTGAGCTTTACCACAAGGCTAGAAAATTCGACCTTTATTTTATTTTTTACAAAATAATTTGTAGCGTTCTCTTTAAGGTACAACCCAGTTGCCTTGCACAAAGCTAGCACCTGACAAATGCTTGTTGAGTGAATGGCTGATTAACGAGCCTGCTTTTGCCTGTGTTCCCCAGAGACAGAATGGAGGAAGCGGAAGGCATCCAGGAGGGGCGCAGAGGAAGAGGAAGAGGAGGAAGATGACGACTCTGGGGAAGAGATGAAGGCTCTCAGGGAGCGTCAGAGAGAGGAACTCAGTAAGGTAGCATCTCACTACCCCCCCAGACACCCTGCCCATGTCTTCTTGGGGACAAGAGTTCTGGTTCTCTAGCTGTTCTGTACTAAGTGGTGTCATGCCCGTAGGAATACGAGGAACTCCCCTTCTTCCCAGGACTTCAGGTTGTTGCTACTGAATGGACCTCGTGCTGCTTTGGGGGAACACTAATTTAAGGTCAAAAAGCAAAGAAAAGGGTGCCCCCTTGCAGTGCCAGGCTTCAGTAGGCTAAGTTCACAGGAAGAGGAGCAAGGAGAGAGCAGGCCACTAGTCTCCAGAGTAGGTGAAAGGGTGTTGGGAGTCCTGGAAAGGCCACTGACAGGGGCATGGACTTGTGCTCTGGGCACGTGACCTGGGTTGCAGAGCCGCTAGGATACAGTTACACGGAGCTGCGCCGACTCCTTGCTCTCCAGGGTGTCCAAACCCAGTGTGGCAGTGCATCAGACCGGAGACACAGGCCCCACGGGCTCCGGGGTGTTTCCACCCAGCCACTCGGAAACCAGTCCCCCGGTCCTGCCTGCAGATACCCAGCTCCCAACCTTTTGGAGATGAGAAATGATCATAGCAGTCTTGGACCCATCTTCTTTCTCCTTCCCCAGGTTACCTCCAACTTGGGAAAGATGATCTTGAAAGAAGAGATGGAAAAGTCATTGCCTATCCGGAGGAAAACTCGCTCTCTGCCTGACCGGACACCCTTTCATACCTGTGAGTGCCATGGAGGCGGCTCCGAATTGCCTGGCCAGGCCTTGAGGCCAGAATTGAAGAGTCTGGGTTTGTCTATCATATGCCCAGCTCTGTGCTCCTGCGGCATAAGGGACAGAAGATCGTGTCACTGGCTCAAGGCACTCATTCCTTAGGGCAAGAATACAGTCATAAAATAAGACTAAAGCAGAATTAGCAAATTTTGTTTAACTTACCAAACACTTATTGTGTGTCTAACATATGCTAGACACTGGGGATTATATAGGGTCAAAACTATAGTCCTGTCCCTCAATAAACTTCCAGTCCACGGGGAAGTTGATATGGGAATTGGGGTCAGTGCAGCTTGGGGAGGTGTTGGGGTGACATGAGAGGCACACACAGTGAGTGTTTCCAGAGGATTGTGACTGGGCCTGGGGCTGAAGGCCAGGGAGGAGGGTAAACTAGGTCTTGAAGAGAAAGACAGAGTGAGTGGGGGGAAGGGCATTGCGGACACTGGGAACAGTGTGGGGGCAAAGGCAAGGAACAGAAAACACCCCGGCCAGCTTATAGAGCCTGCAGGAGCCTGCAGTTACAGAGCCCAGAGTGTGCCTTGGGGTGGCAGGGATTGGCCAGAGAGACAGGGTGGCCTGGGTTTTGGGTACTGTGCCTCTAATTGCTGGAGCCTGGCCTGGACTTCCCTAGAGCAGGGTGGCTGCAGCACAGGGAGGGAGAGCAGAAAGCCCAAGCTGCAACTATGAGGCCTCTAAAAGCCTAAACTCAGGAGCCACCCAGCATCATTCCTTTGCATCCTGTTGGTCAGAGCAGCTCATCGGGCAGCCTAGACTCCGGAGAGGGGAGAGGCTTTCCATTACCTGATGAAGGCAGTGGTACAGAGGCTCACAGGCTGGAAGATGACATGCAAACCATCTTTGGAGACACTCTACCACACTTCCCAATCATCTGTAGGACTACGTAGGTCCAGAGGGGAGGCGGCGGGTTTGAGAATACATAGGAGATAGAATCAACCGGACTAAGTGGTCGATTGGGTGTGGGAAGGGAGAGCCAAATCAGGGTCTTGGCTTGGGTGCTAAGTGGGGACATACCTGGAACTGAGGTGTTAAGGGAGGAGGGGGTTGGGTGAAGGATGCAGGGACTGATTTGGGACATGTTGGGCTTGGAGTACATGTAGGTAAGAGCCAGGTCTTACTGGGTTGGAAGCTTGAAGGGCGAGTTGAGTCTTCAGCTTGTATGTAGACCATGAGAGAAAACGGGACGCACAGAGGAGAGGGAAGGGAGAAGGAGGGAGGGTGCCCAGGCGTGCCCTGGAGAGCTCCCCTAGCAATGTCCAGGAGGTCCCAGGAGGAGGCCCAGCCTCAGGATGTGGGAGGCAAGCCTTGAAAGGCCCCTTTCTCTGAGGGCTGGGGACTCGGGTCTGGGAGCAGGCCACATGAGAAGCTGAGGTTTTCTGCTGAGCAGAAGGAGGGTGAGGCTGGGTGAGGTTGGAAAGGTTAGGACTAGCCGCTGCAGGGAAGGGAAACTGGTGCAAGACTTTCGGTCTATAGTGATGATCATCCACTCAGTGTGGGCTTTATCTCTGTGGCCTACAGGCAAGAGGAGCTGGCTGATCCAGGGTTAGAGTTTCATAAGGCAGGTGCCAAGAGATGAGGGGCCAGGTGAGCTGCTGAGTGGTGGTGAAAGTAGTTATATACCCAACCACGGGTCGTAGGTCCCAGGGGAAGCAAAGGGGAATCAAGACACTGGAGGTCCCCTTGAGGTTGATGGACAGATGTGCTGGAAATGAGGCTGCGAGGAAGCCTCAAACAAGGAAGGTGCTGTGGCTGCAAAGTGGGATTCCCAGGCTTCAGATGTGCAGCAGATGTGGACAAGACCTAGGGGGTGGCCACATGGAAGGGCTGCCTAAAGGGGAGCGGAGGTGAAGGCCACTGGGGGGTGGGATGCAAGGAGCCATAAGGGTCACGTGTGCTTGGACATCCACAGGGTCACTGAAAGTCTCAGGATGATATTTTGGTATGAGTGGGAAGTTACAGTAGGGAATGTTAGAGAATGTAGAATAGTGAAGGCCTGAAGAAAGAGGCAGATACACAGATGCCCCGAAAGCTGGATTCAATCTTTATGTTCTACCAGAATTTGCTATTCAGTCAGACTTAGCTCTTTAACTTCCCTTTTGGCCTTGCAGAGTTGAATAGCCAGATATCTACCACACCATCATTTTTGGCATCCCTGAACTCGTATGTGACCAGTGATCACATGACTGCTTAGGCTACTGTCATAGCTAATCAACCTCAGCAGTTTCAGAATTATGAACAGGTGTCATTCTGACTTGGTGGTAACGTTGAAATGGTCACTTTCAAACATAAATGAGTGTTCTAAAAGTAATCAAGTGAAAATCTTCTGATATGCTTTGTAGATTGAAATTCTACCATTCATTTGAAATATAAGTGTATACTTATCACAGAAATGAAATGCTTCAATAGTGAATGATCATTGTAGAAACAGATAATTTCCTACACAAAAGTAAGAAGTCTTTTTAAAAATTTGTTAATGTTTATTTATTTTAGAGAGAGAGAGACAGAGTGTGAGCAGGGGAGGGGCAGAGAGAGAGAGGGAGACACAGAATGCAAAGCAGGCTCCAGGCTCTGAGTTGTCAGCACAGAACCTGACACAGGGCTCAAACTCCCAAACCGCGAGATCATGACTTGAGCCGAAGTTGGATGCTTAACTGACTGAACCACCCAGGTGCCCCTTAAAAGGATGTTTTAAGAAGACAATTTCTTATAATTTTGAATCTGTCAAGGCTAAACCTTCAAACAAATTGTTTGTCAGGGGGCCTGGCTGGCTCAGTCAGAGGAGCATGTGACTCTTAATATTGGGGTCATGAGTTCAAGCCCCACATTGGGTGTAAATAAACACTTACAGCTTTAAAAAATGTTTATCAAAATGATTGCCCTAGAATGTCAATGATTTCTAGCATTTGGACGTGAAAGAGTTTTGAGATCTGGGCAAACTAAGTATTTTAGGTACAAAGTTCTCTTTAGGAAAACCTGTTACTGAAAACCAACAATATGTGGTGCTAGAAAGCTGAGTGATCCTATGAAGTGTGTAAGTTCAAAGTGACATTTGATCTTGGAAATGTGAAGTCTCTCTCTAGATAGTTTTAAGTGATCTCTACACCCAGCATGGGGCTTGAACTCATGATCCTGAGATGGAGAGTTGCGTGCTCCACCCACTGAGGCGGCCAGGCGCGCCAAAAACGTGGAGTAGACTAACGGCTGGCACAGCCTAGCAGCTGATGGCGCCAAGAAAACGATCGTTTCTGTATTGTAACGTTAAACATCTGAAATTTGATCACTAGCATTGCTAATTTTAAAGTATAATGATTCCATCATTTTGACAAAATTTCAGATATAGTTTTGTAGTCCAGAGTTTCATTTTATGACGGCGAGCCTCATCATCTGTCACTGGCTGACTATCAGTTCTAACACTCGGGCGTTTCGCCCAGATGTGTGTTTGTTTAGAGGGACAGCCCAGAGCTGCCAGCACAGTGCCACTTGCTGAAGGTAATGGGCAGGAGCCAAAAGTCAACGGGGTTCCCTGGGCCCCCCGGGTCCGCCCTTCACCACCCTGCCTCTGGCAGGGGAGGCCAGAGAGGCAGCCCTCTCAGGAATGATTATCAGACCAAAGGGACTGACCAGGGCCTCTTACTGTCTTCCAGCCCTGCATGCAGGAACATCAAAGTCATCTTCTCTCCCCTCCTACGGCAGGACCACTCTGAGCCGGGTAAGGTCCCAGACCAGAGATCACAGACTGCGAGGGAAGAGTGTGCCTTTGGGCACCTCTGAGGGACTGAGCTACTTGGGCATCCTGGGGTCACAGGAGACCCTTCCTGTGAGGGGGAACAGTGCAGAATTCTCCAGCTTCCTTCTGATCCCTTCATGTCCTTTCTAGCTACAGTCCACAGACTTCAGCCCCTCTGGGAGTGAGACTGGAAGCCCAGGTGAGAGGCAGGGCCGCCCAGTACCAGGCGAGTGGGGAAAGGGGCCTCAGAAGGCCCAGGGCAGCCCCGTGCCTGTGATGTGGGCAGGGCTGTGGCTGGAGGTTGGGGAGGCTGAGCTGGCAGTTTTGGAGGCCTGCTGACCTTCAAGCTGCCGCCGGACAATGACTCTTCTCTCCCACAGGCCTGCAGGTGAGTGCCTCTGGAGGGGAACACATGAAGCAGCAGAAGCCATGGACGAGTGACAGGCAGTGTTGGGGGTGGGGGGGGTGGGGCCACAGAGTTGCGTGGTAAGGACTCGAGAAGCCCAGGGTAAGGCTGGGGAGGTCTCCCTGCCCCACTCTGGCTCACTGCGGCTTTGGTCTCCCCAGAACGGAGAGGGCCAGAGGGGGAGGATGGACCGGGGGAACTCCCTGCCCTGTGTGCTGGAGCAGAAGGTGAGGGGCAGGGGCAGAGCCAGGGGTGGTGGGCAGGGGACAGAACCACCTACAGTGGGGGCGGGCCAGCCAGCCGGGGGGGGCCAGAAGCCAGGGAAGTGAATGCACTAAGGGGTCGATGATGGGAGGGGCAGCAGGAAAGTTGGGGGACATGGGTGGCAAAAATGGCATGAGCCTCAATGGCCCCTACAGGCTGATAAGGGGCCAGGGAATTGAGGGGGTCACACTGACAGAAAACTTGATGAGCCTAACACTGCCCCTTCCCCTCCCCACCCAGATCTATCCCTATGAAATGCTGGTGGTGACCAATAAGGGAAGAACCAAACTGCCTCCAGGTGTGGATCGGATGAGGCTTGAGGTATGCAGGGGAAATGTGTGCGGCGGGCCCAGGGGCTATAATGGGGTGGCCTGCCCTGCCTGGTGGGGAGAACCTGGGGCCTATTTGATTTTCCCTTTGGCACTTGGCCAGCCCCACCCTGTGCCCCTGTCCCGCAGCTGCCTTTGTGTGTCCCCTCTACAGAGGCATCTGTCTGCTGAGGACTTCTCAAGAGTATTTTCCATGTCTCCTGAAGAGTTTAGCAAGCTGGCCCTGTGGAAGAGGAATGAACTCAAGAAAAAGGCCTCTCTCTTCTGACCACCCCTCCCACTCCATAACTGACCCTCTCTCCTGCTGCGTCAGGGCTCTGGAGCTGGGGTCGTAGACCCCAAAGCATCACCCCTTAGGGGAGCAGGGAGGTGGGGCGGAGGTAGCGTTGGCTCCATTCCCCAGGTGAGGAGGAACCAGGACCTCTGCAGTGCTGGGGTTGTGGGACATGAACTTGCTTCCCCATAATGAGCTAGGGGGGCCTCCTCCCCTCATCCTTGGTCCTCACTGCACAGGGCAAACCCAGTCTGGACTCCAGCACACACAGAGTTAATGTTTGCACCCTCTCCCCACACTACCCCCATATGAAGGTCCCCACAAGAGAGTGAGGAGAAACGAGGCAGCGCTTAGTGGTCAGGCCTGTTGGCTGTCTTGACCAATGGGTGGGTCGAACCCTTGGGCCTGCTAGGAGGAAGGTGAGGGTGGGAAGCAGCCAGGCAGGCAGGGAGAGCCCCAGGACCTTGTGTGCACCCAAGCACGCCTCCTCGCCTCACCTTGGACAGCTTCCCCTGCTTCTGGGCCTCTGGCTTCTCTGACTCTTAGCAGGAGCAGGCTCGAGCTCGGCCTCCAGCAAGGAGGCCACCCTGCCCTCCAGCTCACCTTGTCCTCTCCCTGTGACCCCTAAGCTTCAAAGCCTCTTGCTCCAGCCCTGTGGCTTCCCCAGAAGCCTTGGCTTAGAGTGGAGATGTTGCAGAACCTCAGCCCGCCATCAGCCTGCAGGCAAAGTCAGCTAGACTTTTAGCACCCAGGTCCCGGGCAGCACCCAGGCCTTCAGGCTCCTCGGGATGGGATTGAGAGGCCAGGCTGAATGTCCTGGCTACCATGTCCCGTCCATCCCCGTGCATCCCCACCACGCTGTCTAAAGAATGTAATTTATTGGGGCACCCCCCAGCTGCTTTCTCTCCTAACTCTCTGCCCGACTTTAATCACACTCCCAGCTTTTCTTCTCTACAGAAACATATGTGTACATAATTATATATATATTTTTGCCTGGGTCTGGGTTTTGTTCCTGCCCAGGCTCTGGCATCCCTTTCCACTGTGTGTGTGTGATAATGCTGTGGGAGGGGGACTCTGCTTGGAATTAAAAGGTTGCATTGGGCCCCCAAATCTATTTGTTCTTTCTGAGCCACCAGATCTGGAAAGGAGGGAGAGGTGACACCAGGCTAAGGGAATCCGTGGGAGTGAGGGTTCAAATGGGGAGCACATAGGGTTGGAAGAGGTGGACAGCACACACACTGCCCTCGAAAGCAGGAGCTAGCATAGCAGGGGCCCATCTGCCTCCTCTTTTTCGGGGCTGTGTGACAGTGGTGTGGAGGAAGGGCAGAAATTCACACTCTGGAGCTGGGAGGAAAGCCTGCTTGTCCCCTGCTGAGACCCTAAGTGCTCACCTTGGCAGTCAAGCTCATCAACATGTGACATGAAGGCACCCTCTGGGGCCTAAGATACTCACAGTTCAATGTGGAGGCCAAATGCACAGAGAAGGTCAATGGTGTATGAGTAGGCGGTGAGCTGACTTGTGAAGAGCAGGTGGGGAAAACCAATCAATGGAGAAATGATGGGTGAGATCTAGCGGACCACTGGTTAAGTGGAGGCTGAGGGAGGAGATGGGGAACATGGTCTTCGTTGACTTGGCAAGGCCTCCCGTGGGGGCAGATGGGGAACTGGAGTGTGGAAGTGGGTGGAAGGGGTGAAGACTGACGGGAAGATCAGAAGGACTTTAGGTGTGGGTGCTTGTGAAGGGAGGGGTTGGCCTCACCTGGCCGGAACAGAACCCAGATGTGGATGTGTGAAGAGGTGCAGTCAGAAGGGCTAGGTGAGCTGGAGTGTGAACCTAAGAGCTGGAACCTGATTCCAGTCTGCTACCCCCGAGACAAGTTTCTACTCCCTTTGGCTGAAACAAAAGCAAAGGGGATAAGAATCCCTCAAATGCAAGGGTGCCTGGGTGGCTCAGTCAGTTAAGTGTCCGACTTCAGCTCAGGTCATGATCTCACAGTTCATGGGTTCAAGCCCCGCATTGGGCTCTGTGCTGACAGAGCCTGGAGCTTGTTTCAGATTCTGTGTCTCCCTTTCTCTCTGACCCTCCCCTGCTCATGCTGTCTCTCTCTCTCTCTCTCTCAGAACTAAATAAAACATTTAAAAAAAAAAAAAGGAATCCCTCAAATGCAGACAATTATTTTAAGTTGTAGGAGCTCTGATACATTGGATACAACATGCTTTTATCCTTTCAACAACCTGTGAGGTCAACAGCATAGATCATTTTGATCCTTTTAGCCAATGAGAATATTGTAGAGTTCATCTGAATCCTGAAGGTACATGCAAGTTAATGAGTGGAGAATGGAGACAGACATCCAAGTTTCATGTTAACCCAAGACTTCCCCTATGTAGTTCCCTCTCACAGGGCAGCGTGGGGGGCAGACTAGGAGGCGTAGACAGAATAGTCTCCAATACCAGGACTCAAGTTTTAGGTGTTCAACCAATGTTTGGAGGGCTTACCTTATTCCAGCATTACAGACTCAGTGGTGGTGACAATGCCAGCACCCCCAGGGCCACGGAGCTCCCAGGGTGTTGAGCACCAAGGGAGGCTGAGGCAGTGTTTGATCACAGTCCACTGGGAAATACTTTTGGTGGGCAGATTGCATGCTAACACCTAAAGGATTTTAAGTTCCTGAGATCTGGAGAGACCTGAAGTGGATGTGGGTCCCTAAAACAAAAATCTTAGGCTTAGGAGAATCTCTCAGTGCCTCTTCCACACACACACACACACACACACACACACACACACACGTATGCAGGCACATGCACATGAGCAGATACAAAACCTTCGTGATTACTTAGTAGTTTGCAAGCCTTTTTTCAAAAATTGTATCTTGGGGCACATGTGGGGCTCAGTCAGTTAACCATCTGGCTTCAGCTCAGGTCATGATCTCATGGTTCAGGAGTTCAAGCTCTGCATCAGGCTCTGCTGTCAGTGCAGAGCCTGCTTTGAATCCTCTGTCACCCACCCCCCCACGCGTCTGTCCCTCCCCTGCTCACATACTCTCTCTCACTCAAAATTAAATAAAAACATTAAAAAAATGAAAATTACATCTTATCGTTAGTAACTGGAATACATTTATAAATAGAATTTTATAGTTAATGATAAAAATGAGTCAGGACAAAGAAGCTCTGATGAATTAAAAAAACCTTACGTCAAGATTTGTATGTGACAGTGCCCTTTTATCACACATAGGATCTAATTTATTGTATTTGGCTGCACAGTATCAGGAAAATCCTGATTCATACAGATAAGTAGTTACAAAATTGCGGTGGTTTAAAAATGTGCACAAATCGGGGGTGCCTGGGTGGTCAGTTGGTTAAGCTTCCGACTGTGACTCAGGTCATGATCTCACTGTCCGTGGGTTCAAGCCCCGCATCGGGCTCTGTACTGACAGCTCAGAGCCTGGAGCCTACTTCAGATTCTGTATCACCCTCTCCTCATCATGCTGTCTCTCTCTCTCTTTCTCTCAGAATAAAAAACATTTTAAAAAATGTGCACAAATCATTCTCATTCCTCCCATCGAGTGGCCGTGTCAATGTCCCCTCTTCTTGAATCTGGGCTTAGTGACTTGCTCTTTTAACACTGTTCACCCTCCAAGAGCCTTCTGCCCTCATTTAAACTGACAGAAGAAAAGGCTTTATTCAAAGGTCTCCTCCCAAATGAGCTAATCTGTCAGACTTTAACTACAACTGACCCTTGAACAGCATGGGGTTAGGGGTGCTGACTCCTTTATGCAGTCGAAAATCTACATACAACTTCTGACTGCCTCCAAATCTAACTGCTAATAGCCTGTTGACCAGAAGTCTTACTAACATAAACAATTAACACGTTTTGTATGTTATATGCACTATATACTGTATCCTCATAGTAAAGTAAGCTAGAGAAAAGAAAATACTAAGAAAATCACAAGGGAGGGGGTGCTTGGCGGCTTAGTCAGAAGAGCATGCAACTCTTTTTTTTTTTTTTTTAATGTTTTTTTATTTATTTCTAGGAGAGAGAGAGACAGCGTGAGCAGGGGAGGGTCAGAGAGAGAGGGAGTCACAGACTGAAACAGGCTCCAGGCTCTTAGCTGGCAGTCAGCACAGAGCCCGACGCGGGGCCCGAACCCATGAACCGCGAGATCATGACCTAAGTGAAAGTCGGACGCTTAACCGACTAAGCCACCCAGGCGCCCCAGAAGAGCATGCAACTCTTGAACTTGAGGTTGTGAGTTTGAGCCCCACATTGGGTGTAGAGATTACTAAAAAACAAAAAACAGCGCACCTGGGTAGCTCAGTCAGTTAAGTGTCTGACTTTGGCTCAGGTCATGATCTCGCGGTTCGTGAGTTTGAGTCCTACATTGGACTCTGTGCTGACAGCTCGGAGCTTAGAGCCTGATGCCTGCTTGGGATTCTGGGTCTCCCTCTTTCTGCGCCTCCCCCACGTGTGCATATGCACAAGTGCACGCTCTCTCAAAAATAATAAACATTAAAACAAAACACCTTTTAAAACTTTTTATAGAAAGAAAAAAATCTTAAGGGAGAGAAATTACAGAGTGTTGCACTGTATCTAAAAAATGTATGTATAAACAGACCTGTGCAGTTCAAACCCATGTTATTCAAGAGTCAACTGTACATCAGTGGGTTCCAACACTTTTAACATATAACACGTTTCCATTGACATTTATTAGAAGTTCTAAGATAAAAATTTTAAAGTGAAGCCAAATGAAAGGTTATGAATTCCTGATGTACTTCCACTATAGCCCAGAATTCCTAGAGGAAAGATGATTTAATCCATCCAGCTGCTTCCCTTACCTATGAGGAAGCCAGCCCAGAAAATCACAGTGCAGGACTGGACTCAGGGCTCCAGCTCTCCAAGTGGCCTCTCCATACACATAACAGGCTTGTTTCTTTCCTTTGTTCTTATACATTCTGGCCTGAAAGCCTCCTCTCCTTTCCCATAGGGCTACTCACAGGGGCCCGTTTGCAGATGTACTATTTTAAAACGTCTCTTTTTCCCAAGCAGTTGTTAGAGAATTGAGATCCAAATGCTAGCTCTATCTGGGCTGGGCAGAATCCTGTCCCCACCCCTCGTGACTTAGCCTGGATTCCAGGCTCCACTCCAGGGTACATAGCCATCTCCGGACAGGTCGTTGTCTCCTGGACCTCAGCCTGGCTGGTGAATGGGGCCCAAAAGGCAGGGCTAGTGCAGTGAAGCCTCAAGACCCCTCAGCTCTAGGTCCTCCAGCTTTGTGATAGAGGCTACCCCTCACCCTCTCATCAGATGTCAGTGGTCAGTAGAAAAACATTTTGAACAGATATCAGCCCTCTCCTCAGAAAGAGCTTTCCATTCCTAAAAGTTGGGAGGTGGAGGTGGCAGGGGAAATGGGCTTTAAAGTGGCAGAGTTGTCGCTCGGATGGTCCCGGAAACCCTGCTCTTGTTGAAGGTTCTGCCTGTGTAATTCTTGGGCGCACCTTGCCCTGGTAGGGGGCGCCTCAACATGGGAGACCCACCTTTTGTTTCTTTCCTTGGTGCTGCTAGAAGAGCAACCGGGCCAGTGGTTGCCTCTTCTGCAGAACCTCTGCACCAGTGCTGTATCCACTTAAAGGAACCAGCAACAAGTGAAATTAATTTCAATAATATACTCCATTTAGCCCAATATATCTAATAGGCTACGATTTCAACAGGTCATCAACATAAAATATCATCAGTGAGCTATTTTACATTTTCTTTGTGTAGTAAGTCTTCAGAATGGGAAGTGTACTTGACCCTCGGGACATCTCAATTAGGACTAGCGCGTTTGTTTCAGTGCTCCACAGCCACACGCGGCCAGTGGCTACTGTGCTGAGAGGAGGCGGGGGTAGGGGCGTCTAGAGAGACTTACAGGACCCACAGACCTTCTCAAGCCTCTGGAAGAAACCTCCCGGTCCCGCTCACCCCTCTCGCCGCCACCTGGCTCCCCAGGGGGCCCCGGCGGCACTTGAAGGCGCCCCTTCGCTGCGACGCCGGGCTTCGGCGTCCCCCTTGCCCTCCCGGACCGGGACTCGTCGGCGCCCGGCCTCCTTCCCGACCGCGGGCCTGGCCGGGGCCGGGGGCGGCCGGCAGCTGATGCCCCCGGCGGGCCGGGGTGGGGCGGGCCAGGCAGGGCCCCGCCTCCTCGCCGCGCCTCCTGGGCCGCGCTCCGCCCGTGAGCTCCGCCGCCGCCGCTGCCGCCGCCGCCGCCCGGGAGCCGAGCCGGGCCGGGCCGCCAACATGCTGAGCCGGCTCGGGGCGCTGCTGCAGGAGGCCGTGGGGGCGGTGAGGCCGGGGAGGCCGGGGCGCGCGGGGCCTAGGCCGGAAGGGCGGGCACGGGGCCGGGGGAGGAGCCGGCGGGCGGGCGGGCGGAGGACGCGGGCCCGCCTCGGGGAAGGGACCCCCACCCAGGCCGCGGCGCCCTTTCCCGGGCCTCCTCTCTCCCCCGTCGCGCCCCTCCCGCACAGCACTCCTGTTTCGCGTGGCTTCCTTCCCGATCGCGCGACTTCCAGCCCTTCTCCAGATTGCCCCAGCCCCTAACCCTTCTCCCCAAATGGCTTCCTGTCTCTTTTTCCTGCTCCGCGTTCCCAGTTCGCTCCCAGTTCCCCAACTCTTCTGTGCCAGAGGGCTCCCTTGTCACCCGATAGTTTCTTCCCCAAAGTCCCCTCCCCAAGCTGTTTGCCTTCCTCCTCGGCCCACGCTCCTCCCTTCCTGGTCACCTGAGCGTGAAAAATAGACGTCCCTTGCCTTCTTCCTGAGCCTCCAGACAATCCCAGGACCTTAGTCAGGCGCTGTCTCTCGGCCTCCACTTGAGAAGATCCGGCCCAGACGGGCCAAGCCCCCCTGACTATATATATGGTCCAGATATATATACAGTCCAGAGGTGGGTGGGCGCCTGGCCCAGGAAACGGCAGGGCCCAGGGGCTGTGGACGGAATGTTATCGCGCAACACACCAGCAGGGCCAGGTTGACCTTGAGTCAGGAGAGGCCAGGGTGGTGGGGCCTTGGGGCAGCCATGTGAGGAAGAGTTTGTGTTTTTGCCATTTTCTGTTGGGCTTGAAGGCTGGTCAGAGGCGGGTTCACTTCATTCAGCGAGATAAAAGTGCAGTGTAGATAGGGTAGGCTGAAGGCCTTCTGCTTAAAGTAACCCTGCCAAGAATCTGTCTGTAGAGTTAACAGTTCTTTTGCCTCAAAGTAGAAGTCCTCCTCTAATTGATGGGTTTAGTGTATTGTATCAGATTTGCTCTGGAGAAACAGCCTGGTGCTCCACCTCCTTTCTCCTCAACACACGCCCCAAAACAGAGTTTATTGTACATGGGACCAGTCTCAGCCTTCATGAGATTTGTCAAGAAAGTGAAACCCCCACCCCCCTGCGCCTCGCCCACCTGTCCCCAGCCCTGCCCTTCCCAGTCCAGGCACTTCCTGGGCAGCCCACCTTGGGAGGGGTTCCAAAATGATCTCTCCTTCCACTCCTCCTTGTCTCCAATCAAAATGGCTGTCCACTTAGAAAGTGATGTGACACACTACTTCATACCTCTCAGAGAAAGCTCCATACACAGGGTGGCTGGGTGGGCCGGAGAGAGCCTTAGTTTTGAGAAGTGAATATATAATGCTTCCAATGCAGGAATTTCTGCATTAGTGGATAGAGAAGGTATTGGTGGTCAAGGGAGATATTTTTAAGCAGGTGATCTTCCACTCCTGAGTATACAATGTATAGACAATTCTCGAGAAGTTTGGGTGACCCAATGGAGCTGTCAGGAGAAATAGGAACCTCTCTTTTGCCCTCCACCCCAGATCAGGGCATAGCCCTTCCCCTGGCTGGGTCCCCAGGTCCCCAGCAAGTTGCCTGACTCCTTGTTATAAGGAGGGAGAGTGCTCCTTCCTGCCCTCTTCTGACAAAACAGAATAGCGATCCTTCTGATTCTTTTAAAAAAAAAAAACCAAAACCTTCTTTATTATCATTAATGAAGATAGTAAAGATCATCATGTGGTACAATTTCTTTAGAGTTATGATGGCTAATAGTAGATTCAGGTGAAGCCGATCCTGTCGCTTTCTTCCAGCAGTCTGTGTTGTGACAGTCTGTTATAGTTTGCTAAAAGTCTGTGTTCTTCCGGTTCTCCTCTTACCCAATTGTTCTTTTCTAGAGTGAGTCCAGCTCAAGGTTTTAGGAGACTACCAATGAATTTTGAGGCTAGATGAGAGCCCATCACAGAAAAGTGAGATAAGGATAGTGCTGGTCAAGGGCAAGGGGGCTTTCCAAGAGGCAAGAAACTATGGAAAGAGGTGTTAAGGAGTTTGCTGAGCTATTTAGTACGTATGAATGACTAGTCACTATGTGCAGAGCCCTTTAGGAGCAGGCAGAGATAGAAAATACAGAACCCGAGCCCTCAGGTTGCTCACAGCTTGGTAGAAGAGGTGAGCGCTAATCCAACAATAATAGTATCACACAGGACGTGGTAAGATGCAATCACTTCGTGTGGCAGGTGTGTTTGGAATGACTTACTGGAGGTGCCACTCCAGTAAGGGTCATGCTCCTCACAGCTTACTTTGAAAGAAAACAAGGTTGTCTGGGCAGCCAACGGTTGGGGGAAGGATTTCAGGGCCTCTGATTCAGTGTTTTAGTGCTTCTTTCTCCTGTCTTAATGGCCTTCCGACCATTCTTCCTGCCATCAGCTCCTACACAAAACCGCCAGATGACCCTGCCTGGCACACCACTCAGAAGATGTCATTGACCTGTCCCCCAATGCCTGCAAAAAACAAGCCTGACTTGGTGGCTTGATGTACATACACTCATCAGCCCATCCTTGTCCCAGACACTGTGTGTGGAGTTCCTTCTTCAGGAAACGACTTTCCTTTATCTCAAACTGTTGCACTCAGACCCTGTTCTTCAAGTTTTAGTTCAAGGGTAACCTCAGTAAAGCCTTCTCTGTTCCAGTGCTCTTTTCCCAGAGATCACCTTCCACCTCTCCTGTGTCCTCACACAACTTCCTGTGGCTGAGTTATTCAGGGTGGTTTTATAGTCTCTTCTCCCTGGCACTGGGTCTTCAACAACCTTGTATTGCTTAGAACGTCTGGCATAGCGTCTTGTACACAGTAGGCACTCAAAAGATACTGAATGAATAAGGAGTAGACACTCGGTTCTATGATGTTATAAAGTGTGAGGTTAGAGAGAGATGTCCAAGAACTCTGGCAAGGCCTTTGTGGAGCTGGTGGCCCGTAGCTGGACCTCACTGGTGACTGTTAGGATCTAGGCAAGTGTAGGGGGACACAGGGCTTCCAGGATAAAGGAGTGGCCTGAGCAGAGATGGAGAGGTAGAAATGAGCACCTGTGGTAAGGGACTATTTGACTACATTTTTCTCCTGTAATCATTTCCTCTGCAAGAAAAGGGAACAAATGCTCTTTTTTAGACTTTTCAGAGAAAGCAGTTACCAGTTCAAGGCTACTTCCCGTGTAGAGATGGAGAGATCACTTCTGGAAAAGGGGGAGGTTTGGGGCTTGCTCCTAGCAGAAATAGAATTCCCTGGGGCTTCAGGCTGTGTACCCCTAACTCCTCCAGCAGCTTGCAGCCTTGGATAAGAGATGCAAGCATGTTGTGGGTAAGGCACTTTATTAATATTCTGCTAACGTTACCCATCTGGTTGAACGAAGCCTTTCAGTGGCCTTGAACACAGATTTTTGCAGGCTCTCAGACTGACTGGGACCTGTCTTTGCCCATGTTTTCCAAGTGTATCATTTTTATTTTGTCATTTCGGGGACGCTCCACTGTTTTCCTCTGTGTCCTTCTGTTGTAGCATAACTGTCGTGAGGGGATCTGTTTCTGGGTCTATTTCCCCCACCAGCATTCTTAGCTCTTCCGGGACAGGGACTGTGGAATCATGACATGTAGCAGGAGTACAGCATTTCCAGGAGAGAGGGGGTCCAGGAGAGCTGCCAAAGATTGTCCTGGGTTCCCTTTGAGAACCTGGATCACAGTGCCTCCTCCAGAGCCTAGCGATGACCCAACACTTGGTGGATGGTGGAACGTCTGTTCTGATGGGTGATGGTCGCAGCAGAGCCCGTGATCACTGTGTGGCGGCCACTTAGGCTGTGTTTCTGCTCTCTCCACAGCGGGAGCCCAGCATTGACCTGCTGGAGGCCTTCATGGAGCACTGGAAGGGCATCACGCACTACTACATTGAGAGCACAGGTGGGGCCTGGTTCCCCCTTCCCCTGCCCACCCTAACAGGGGGCAGGGGGTCCCCTGCAGGGAGTGGGGAGGAAGGTGTGGGCAGGGTCACTATGCAAGTCAGAGATGCGGGTGTTCTGGACAAGGTGACAGCTGTTGCCGAGGAGGTCAGACTGGGGGATGGTCCCACCCTGACCTTTTGGGAGAGGAGCTGAGTGAGGTGGAAGTGGCCAGTGAGAAGTTGGGCCTCTCACTGGCCTGACTCTGCAAGGCAGAGGTTGAGCCCTACTAGCTTCTAGCTTCCAGCTCGGCAGATGTCCTGGTCTGTAGTCCCCAAGTACCTATTCTGCTTTTCCCTGAGCTGACTTAGAGGGCATTTCCCTTATAGAAACCTCTGGTAGGAGGAGAAATGAAGCCCAGGCATGTAACATGCCTGCGTCCTTCTCTCCCAGCTGAGAGCCTCCAGCAATCTGAGCCCATCAGGATGGCTTACGGAGAGGTGGAATCTGTTTGGCTGCTTTGTAGTCTATATGTTGGTATTGACAGATACACGCTGGTGGCCAGGTAAACCTGTCCTGCATCCTTGGCTTTCTACCTCCTGGTTCAGACTAGGGTTTGATTCCAGTCTACATCTTTCCTAAAGACTTTATTTTCAGCCCGAGCCAGCCCAAGAAATTAAAAAGCAGACTTTGGACACTCTGAGGGACCCCCTAAGTGTCCTTTTAAACCAAGTTCCCAATCTTGGCACTGTTGACATTGGACTTGATCATGTTTGTTGGGGGGTGGCGGTGCTTCTGGCTCCGGCCTCTACCCACGAGATGCCAGTAGGACCTCCTCCCTATTGTGATAACCATAAATGTCTCCAAAAACTGCCAAATGTTCCTACGGGCAAAATCACCCCCAGTTGAGAACAACTGCTTTAAACTGAGGATATTTTGGGGCACCTGGGTGGCTCAGTCGGTTGAGTGTCTGACTCTTGATTTCGGATCAGGTCGTGATCTCACAGTTCCTGAGATTGAGCCCCACAATGGGCTCTATGCTGACGGCTCGGGGCCTGCTTGGGATTCTCTCTCCCTCTCCCTCCCTCCCTCTCTCCCTCACTCCCCTCCTCTGCTTTCTCTCTCTCTCTCTCTCTCAAAATAAATAAACATAACAAAACAAAACAGAAATCAGAGGAGCACCTGGGTGGCTCAGTCAGTTGAGCATCTGACTTCAGCTCAGGTCATGATCTTGCAGTTTGTGGGTTCAAGCCCCACATCAGGCTTGCTGCTGTCAGCCTGTCAGCACAGAGCCTGCTTCAGATCCTCTGTCCCTCCCCTGCTTGCATTCTCCTGATAAACAAATATTTTTTAAAAAGAATCAGAAATGTTATTAGGTATTAAAAAAATTAAACTGAAGATCTTTTTTTATTGAGATATAATTGATGTAACATCACATCATATAACTTAGATGTACAACATATTGATTCAATGTATGAGTATGTTGTGAAATTATCATCACAATAAGTCTAGTTAATATCCATCACCCTATATAGTTACCAAGTTTTTTCTTGTGATGAGAACTTTTAAGATTTACTGTTAACAGTTTTCAAATATCCAATACATTAACTATAGTCACCATGCTGTCCTTAACATTCCCAGGACTTATTTTTTTTTTAACTTTTAAACATTTTTATTTATTATTGAGAGACAGAGAGAGACAGAGCATAAGCATGTGAGGGGGAGAGCGAGGGGGAGACACAGAATCTGAAGGAGGCTTCAGGCTCTAAGGTGTCAGCACAGAGCCCAACATGAGGCTTGAACTCACAAACTGTGAGATCATGACCTGAGCCGAAGTCACTCAACCGACTGAGTCACCCAGACATACCAGGACTTACTTATTTTTTAACATGAAGTCCGTACCTTTTAGACTGAACATCTGTTAACAGAGAGCCCCCAGTCTATCGGAACAGTAGGAAAAGATCCAGAACTCGCTCAGGTCCACTTGGGTTTCATCTGAGCCCAATCCATTCATTTCCTGAACAGTGCCTAGACCAGAGGTACAGAGGTGGGGGAGGTGAGCCAAGTTGCTCAAAAGCCAATGCTTTTGGGAAAAGCTAGGGGGTGCTCCAAGGCCAGTCCCAGAGCATCAAAACTTGCTTTACATGAACACTGTCTGAGACTCTGACTAAGAAAGCCCAGTTTCTCCATCAAGACCTTTACTCAGTGGAGCAGCTTTGCCTCTGAACCCGTGATTGTGCATGGATTTTTTTCTGCCTTGTAAAAAAACGGAGTACTGCCTCCTGTGAGTGTAAAGAGGACAGGCAGTTACCTCTCAGGAAGCTGCTAGAAGACAGCTTCTACATTATGTGACAGAGACCCCTGAGCCCATGGCTTCTCACTCTGGCCCAGAGCTGGCCTGCAGCCTGAGCAGTGTACCCTTCTGTACATCCCAGGGCTTGGAGAAAAAATGATGCCACTTCCCTCTGAGAAAGTACTAGAGTATGCACACATTTCCAGTCAGAGGGCTGCATCCTGGGTCCTCATCCAAAAGGTCTTTGTCTTTTTTATGTTTTAATGTTTATTTTATTTATTTTAAGGGCGTGAGCGAGTGAGCAGGGGAGGGGCAGAGAGAGGATCCCAAGCAGCTCCGCACTTGATGTGGGGCTTGAACCCACAAATTGTGAGATCAAAGTCAGATGCTTAACCAACTGAGCCACCCAGGTGTCCCCAAAAGGTCTTTTGTCTTTTTAAATATAGAGGCACCAAGTGCTAACTTCCATTTCCTCTGGTCTTTGAAGCAAATTGTTAACCCGGCCTTACTTCAGGTTTACCCTCCGTCTCCCTCTGCCCCTCCCCCCCGTTTCCTGGGGAACTGTGGGCTTGACCCCTCAAGCCAGAGGGCCTCTCTTCACCCCCTCCCACCCTCGTTTCCTGAATCTCTATTAGATGAAAACACCCCTGTCAAGAAAACGGATATTCCCTGGCGGCTGAGGCAGATGCTGGACATCCTGGTCTATGAGGAGAGGCAGCAGACAGCAGCCGGCGAGGCGGGTCCCTGTCTGGAGTACCTGCTGCAGCACAAGATCCTGGAGACCCTGTGCACGCTGGGCAAGGCCGAGGTGGGCGGGACCCTGGGGTGCCCCTGGAACCTTCCACCCAAACTGGAGCCCTTGTGTTCCAGACTCTTCCACCTGAGCTCCTGTCACCTAGGTTGAGGAAATGTTCCCATTACTCAGTCAGCATTCATTCAGCGAAGATATACTAAGAACCAGCCATGTGCCAGCAAGGGTCCCAGGTGCTGGTGATTAAAACAGATGAAAATTCTAGTCAGAGAGAGATGGATAACCAGAGGAGCCCACATGCAGTGTATTCAACAATGACAAGGTCATGGAGAAAAATAAAGTGGGACGGGGAGTTGGCAGTGCAGGGGAGGCCGGTTTCATACAGGGAGACCTCGTGTTATTGCACCCCCCTTGATTATGCTTCACAAACACTGCATGTTTTACGAGGTGAAGGATTATGGCAGTGCTGTGTTGAGAAAGTCTATTGGTGCCATTTTCCCAACAGCATTTGTTGATTTCATGTCTCTATGTCAGATTTTGGTAATTCTGGTAATATTTCAAACTTGGTTATTATATTTGTTATAGTGATCTGGGATCAGTGATCTTTGCTATTATAATTGGGGACACCACAGACTGTCCATGTAAGATAGTGCCCAGTGCTCCACCAGCCAGCCTTTCCCCATCTCTCTCCCTCCCCTTAGGCCTACCTATTCCCTGAAACACAGCAATACTGAAATTTGGCCAGTTAATAACCCCAAAATGGCCTCTAAGTATTCAAGCGAAAGGAACAGTCATATGTCTCTCACTTTAAATCAAAAGCTAGAAATGATTAAGCTTAGTGAGGAAGGCATGTTGAAAGCTGAGATAGACCAAAAGCTGGGCCTCTCGCACCAAGCAGTTAGCCAGGTTGTGAATGCAAAGGAGAAGTTCTTGAAGGAAATTTAAAGTGTTTCCCAGCGAACACATGAATGATACAAAAGCAAAACAGCCTTATTGCTGATGTGGAGAAAGCCTGAGTGGTCTGCACAGAAGACCAGACCAGCCACAACATTCTGTTAAACCAAAGCCTAATCCAGCACAAGGCCCTGACTCTCTTCTACTCTGTGAAGGCTGAGGGAGGTGAGGAGGCTGCAGGAGGAAAGTCGGAAGCTGGCAGAGGTTGGCTCCTGGGGTCTGAGGACAGAAGCGCCTCCATGACATCAGAGTGCAAGGTGAGGCAGTGGGTGCTCTTGTGGGAGCTTCAGCCAGTTCTCCAGAAGATCTGGCTGTGATGGTTCATGAGGACGGCCACACTGAGCAATTAACAGGTTCTCAATGTCGTGAAACAGCCTCAACTGGAAGAAGATGCCACCCAGGACTTTCATAGCTACAGAGGGAACATCAATGTCTGGCTTCAAAGCTTCAAAGGACAGGCTGACCCCTCCTTCGGGGCTAAGGCGGCTGTGACTTCAAGCGAAGCCAGTGCTCATTTACTATTCTGGAAGGCCGAGGGCCCATATGAATGATACTAAATCCACTGCCTGTGCTCTGTAAATGGAACAACAAAGTCTGAATGACTGCACTGCTGCTTACAACATGGCGTAAGGAATATTTTAAGTCCACTGCTCACTGACAGTGCACCTGGCCACCTACAAGCTCTGACGGAGATGGATGATAAGGTGAATGTGGTTTCTGTGCCTGCTCACACAACATCCATTCTGCAGCCCGTGGATCATTTCAGCTTTCAAGTCTTATTATTTAAGAAATGCATGTTGTAAGGCTATGGCTGCCGTGACAGGGATTCCTCTGATGGATCTGGGCAAGTAAATTGAAACCTTCTGGGAAGGATTCATCATTCTAGGTGCCGTTAAGAACATTTGTGATTCAGGGGTGCCTGGGTGGCTCAGTCAGTTAAGTGTCCAACTTTGGCTCAGGTCATGATCTCACGGCTTGTGGGTTCAAGCCCTGCGTTGGGCTCTGTGCTTACAGAGCCTGGAGCCTGGAGCCTGCTTCAGATTCTGTGTCTCCCTCTCTCTCTGACCCTCCCCTGTTCACTCTCTGTCTCTCTCTCAAAAATAAATAAACATTAAAAAAATAATTTGTGATTCACGGAAAGAGGTAAAAATATCAATACGAACAAAAGTTGGGAAGAATTTGATTCCAGCCCCCATGGAGGACAGTGAGGGGCTCCAGACTGCAGCAGAGGAGGTGACTGCGGGGGTGGGGGTGGGGGACAGCGAGAGAACTAGGACTGGAAGAGGAGCCTGACGATGGCACTGAGTCGCCGCCGTCTCATGAGCGGCCTCGAACGGATGAGGAGTCGCTTCTTCTAGATGAGCCAAGACCGTGGTTTCTTGAGATGGAATCTACTCCTGGTGGAGATGCCGTGAAGATGCTTGAAATGACGACAAAGGGGTCAGAACATGACATAAACTCAGTAGACTGAGCAGCGGCAGGGCTTGAGAGGATTGACTCCAATTTTGAAAGAAGTTCTGCTGACAGTAAAATGCTATCAAACAGCATCGCGGGCTGCAAAGAAATCGGAAGACTCCATCAACATGGCAAACTCCATTGTTGTCTTATATTCAGAAATGGCCACAGCCACCCTGACCTTCAGCCACCACCACCCTGGTCAGTCGGCAGCCACTGACATCAGGGCAGGACCCTCCACCAGCAAAAAGATTATGACTCTCTGAAAGTTCAGATGATGGTTAGCATTTTTTAGCAATAGAGTGTTTTTAAGTTAAGTCATGTACATTGCTTTTTGGAAATAATGCAGTTTCACACTTAATAGGCTATAGTCTAGTGTAGACACAACTTTTATGTTCACTGGGAAACCAAAAGATTAATTTGACTTGCTTTATCGCGATATTCACTTATTGCAATCCTCACTTGATTCTTGTGCTCTGGAAGCAAACCTGCAGTATCTCTAAGGTATGCCTGTCATGAAGGGAGGAGGCTTGCAGAAAAGATGCCTTCCGAGCAGTGACAGAAGGGAGGACTGTGCTGTGGCTCGTAGGGAGGAGCATTCCAGGCAGTGGGCATGGCTTCGTTTCTGATGGGCACTCTGCTCCTTGACCCTCAGTACCCCCCAGGCATGCGACAGCAGGTACTCCAGTTCTTCAGCAAGGTTCTGGCCCAGGTGCAGCACCCCCTCCTGCATTACCTCAACGTCCACAGGCCTGTGCAGGTGAGGGACCAAGAAACCAAGGGGTGGCTGAGGGCCAAGCCCTCTCTCTTCCCTGCAACCCCATTGCCCTCTGTTTCTATTTTGCTTCCCTTCTAGAAGCTTCTCCGACTTGGTGCGACAGTTCCTGGATCCCAAACAGAAAAGGAGGAGGTGCAGTTTACCACCGTTCTCTGCTCCAAGATCCAACAGGATCCAGCCCTGCTCACCTACATCCTGGAAGTGAGCACCTCTGTGGGGAACAGGAGCGGGAGGGCCCAGGTCCCAGGGCAGACCCCTGTGGCCCTTCTGAGCAAGCAGAGGATGGAGCAGGCACTCAGGCACCTAGGCGGCCTCCTCTGCAGCTCCACACTGAGGCCCCACCAGCCAGTGTGCAGCCTGCATTCCCAAGGGAGCATCATGGGCAATGGTCTGCCCCATGAGCTTGTCTCAACCAACCTTCTTTGCAGGGTAAAAAGATTGTCAGTAGGAAGAAGTCATCCAAAGAACCCACCACTCTGGCTAGAGAGGCAGCCAGTGTCCAAGACAAGGACCGCCCCCACAGCAAGGCTCCTGACACGAGTCCTTGTGGGGCCCGGGCCTTGACCACCCAGCTGCCTGCTGAGACGGAGGAGCCAGATGGAGGAGTTGGGGAAAGCAACCTCATCACCTCCCTCATCGGGTTGTGCAAGAGCAAGGTGCCAGCTGCCGAGACAGAGTGGGCAGGGGTGGGGAGGGTGAACTGTTGGGAGGGGATCTGGGGGCTCAGATGTATCTCCCTGATGTTGTGCCCTTTCTACTCCTAGAAAGGTCGGGTGGCTCTGAAAGCCCAGGAGAACCTGTTGCTCCTGCTGAGTGTGGCTTCACCGGCAGCCGCTGCCTACCTGGTACACAGCAGCCCTTGTTGCCCTGCCATCGTCGAGTACCTTTGCCAGCTGTACCAGTCCATGCCCACCTTCCTGGACCCCGCAGACATTGCCGTGTTAGAGGGCATCAGCTGGAGGTAGGCGCTCCGCAAGGCCGAGCGGGGCTCCGTCTTCAGTGGCTAGCAGCCCTCCCTGCCCTCTCTCTTCCCTCTCCATGGTTTCCCAGGAGGGCTGGGGACCCCTGCTGGCCACCGTCTTCCTGGGGGTGCAGCCTTTCCCGGACCTGAGGCCTTTGTCTCTAGGGAAACATCACTTTTGCTTTTGCACCTGTTGCTGGGAGAAGGTGCCTGAGGCAGGCCTCACAGCTCCTCTCTTGCTCCCCCCTTCAGGTTGCCCAGTGCCCCGTCTGATGAGGCTTCCTTCCCTGGCAAGGAGGCTCTGGCTGCCTTTTTGGGCTGGTTTGATTACTGCGACCACCTCATCTCAGAGGCACACGTGGTGAGCAGGGGCGGATATCAGTAAGGCTCTCTGTGGGGTTGCCTTGTGGTTCACCCCACTCCTTTCGCTGCATCCACCTTGAGGAACAAGTAGGTCTCTCAGGAGCTAGGCAGGGCCCCGGGTCTGCCTGTCATGTTAGATACTGTGCAAGGACACAGTTGTTTCTCAGTGGAAAGCACTCATGGAGGTAAAATGTGCTTAATATATGCTCTTTGGCACCTAGGTGGTTGCAGACGCCTTGGCAAAAGCTGTGGCTGAGAAGCTATTCGTGGAGATTCTGCAGCCCCACCTCCTGCATGTGTAAGCTTATGTCCGGTCCCCTTGGGTATGGCCATGGTCTGGATCCAGCTGCCCCCCCCCCCACCCAAACCACTTCTGTCCCTAAGGCCAGGGACCTCCTTGGCTAGAGTCACATGTGTCTGTGGGCTCCATGGTTAATGTTTGCCAGGTCTAGCCCCCTTACACACATGTGGCTCAGGGCCACACGCGCTGACAAAGGCCTCCGGCTCTTGGACTCCAGGACCTCAGGAGGGCTAGGGAGTGAGAAATAACAGCCAAGATGTAAGGAAGTCAGGAAGGGGTACTGTCACCCCCACAGTCATTCGCTCCTAGCTCCTCCCTCTGGTCTCACCTTCCCCTCCTGGCTTTCAGCCCCCAGGCCTGGCTCAGTGCTCTTTCCCTGTAGTTTTTTTTAGGTTTATTTATTTACTTTGAAAGAGAGAGAGTGCGAGCGAACAGGAGAGGGGCAGAGAGAGAGAGGGAGAGAGAGTCCTAAGCAGGTTCTGCACTGACAGGTGTCCATTGTCATCGCGGAGTCTGACGCCAGGCTCCATCTCACGAACCAAACCGTGAGATCATGACCTGAGCTGAGATCGAGAATCGGACTGACGCTTAACTGACTAAGCCCCCAGGTGCCCCTCTCTTCCTGTAGTTCTGAGCAGAGCGTCCTGACCTCCACCGCCTTGCTCACGGCCATGCTGCGCCAGCTCCGCTCCCCTGTGCTGCTGCAAGAGGCCGTGGCGTTCCTCCTGGGTGCTGACCCGCAGCCTGCAGCCCCCGAGGATGGCCCCCGCACCCTGTGCGCTCACCTCATCGGGCACTGCGACCACCTCTCTGATGAGGTGAGGTGGGGGGCGTTGGCCTATGGGCTCCCACCAGCCCCTACCCAAGGGATTTCCTGCGTGCTTCTTCCCCTTTTCCTTAGCTTACCTTGAGGCACTGAAACTTCCTGCCCACTCCCAACAGTGACACGGTCATGGCAGCCAGACTGCCTTTGTCACATAGTAATTTTCTGTGATCGCATACTTGCCATGTGACTTTATATATATTTTCCATATTCATCTGGCTTGTTTGAGGCTTACAGCCACTCTGAGCTAGGTGAGGCCGATGTTCCATATTTCAAACATGGAAACTGAGACACAGAAAAGCCGGTTGGCTCACCTGATAGCAACCATCAAATTAGTAACAGAGCCAGGACCAGGCCGACTTCCGGCTCCTAGACCAGCATCCACCCACTGCCCCCAAACCTGCCGTCTGGTCTTTCTTTTCCGAGTGAGCAATTCCTAGGTGCCCCTAGAGGCAGGGTCCTGCTGACCCTTTCTTACCCAGATCAGCATCACCACGCTGCGGCTGTTTGAGGAGCTGCTCCAGAAGCCACATGAGCAGGTCATCCGCAGCCTGGTCCTCTGCAACCTCGAAGGCCGCCATTACGTGGCCCGGGGCTCACCTGAGCCCGAGAGCTACGAGGACACCGTGTAAGTGAAACCCTGTGCCTTTGGGAAGCCTCAGGCCACTCACGACCCACCATGGCCTCAGTACCCCCACACTTCCCCACTTATTCCTTCGTACCACTTGTCTGCTCTGGCCACAGAGATCTGGAGGAAGACCCCTACTTCACGGACGGCTTCCTCAACTCCAGCTTTCAACCCTCTGCAAAGCCTCCCCCAGCCCCTGCCACCAACTCGGATGGCAAAACAGCAGTGACCGAGATCGTTAACAGGTAGGGAGCTGGTCAGGAAATCTAAGTCACTTGAGGTTTGTTTTGTCTTTGGCCATAGCCCCAGTGAGGTGCAGCCCAGGAGGGAGTGTTCCTTCTGGGCTGGAGATGGGGCAGGGAAGGACAGGGCAGCCCAGGCAGAGCCCCTCCACACCTAGGGTCCTGTCTCTCAGTTTCCTCTGCCTCGTTCCCGAGGAAGCCAAGACCTCAGCTTTCCTAGAGGAGACCGGCTATGACACGTACGTCCACGACGCTTATGGACTGGTGAGTGTTGAGGCCTCTGCCAATGTCCACTTCTCGTCCCTCAAAGCCATGGTGTTGATAAACTCCACCTTTTCCCTCTGTGATCTGCCCAAGGTGCCCCCTGCTCCGGCCAAGAGCCTCAGGTGTACCCTTCCTACGTGGCTCCCTCTGCCTGCGGGTGCCTCCTGACCACTGGGCCCACGTCCTCAATTCTCGCTCTGTTTCAGTTCCAGGAGTGCAGCTCCCGAGTTGCCCCTTGGGGCTGGCCCCTGGGTCCCACACCCCTGGATCCCCATGAGCCCGAACGGCCTTTCTTTGAAGGTCACTTCCTCCGAATGCTGTTTGATCGCATGTCCCGGATTTTGGAACAGGTACACAACAGGACTGGCCCTGGCTACAGGGTGAGGGCCCACAGGAGAACTCCAGGCAGGTGCCTCTGGAGTCCGGGAGAGTGGCCTGACCCCGGGGGTCGAGCCCTCTTTGGGTCTCCAGCTCCATACTCTCCTTCCCCCACCCCCACTCCTCACCGTTCTCCAGGCGGGAAGCCCCGTCCTGCCTTTGCTCCACACGCCCTAACATGCTCTGGCCCTCAGCCCCAGGGAATCCATGACACACACACATCACGTGAGACTCCCACCCCCGCACACGTTCACACTGGCCAGGCGCCTTGCCGGGGGAGTGCAAAAATGCTCACCGCCCCCTGCCAACCCTCAGCTTGTCCACTGTGTTCCCTACAGCCATACAGCCTGAACCTGCAAGTGACCTCAGTCCTGTCCCGGCTAGCCCTCTTCCCCCACCCCCTTATCCACGAGTACCTGCTGGATCCCTACATCAACCTGGCCCCTGGCTGCAGGAGTCTGTTCTCTGTGCTTGTCAGGGTAAGGATGCCGGACCCGAAGGGCGTGTGCCGGTGGTGGGGCAGGAAGGGAGGGCAACAGAAGGACAGGGGGTTGGGGGCTACAGGAGTGGGCATCCTGGCCAGCGCCAAGGGAAAAAACAGGCACACACACCCCCACCTCGCCGCGGTTCAGCAGAACCGGGGGACCCCGCATAACTGTCACTGGCCCCTACCTCAGTCCTGCCTCATACCTGCTCTAGGTGATCGGGGACTTGATGCAGAGAATTCAGAGGGTACCCCAGTTCCCAGGCAAACTGCTCCTGGTACGCAAGCAGCTGATGGGTCAGGTCCCTGGGGAACAGTAAGTAACTGAGGGAAGTGGGTGTCCAAGGACAGACCCTGGGGTGGGAAGGCAGAGTGCCCAAGGGGAGGAGCACAGGCCAGGGGGCGACGAGGGCCCGTTGTGGAGCTCCGTCTTCCCTCAGAGGTGTCTGCCACTGAGATGTGCCTCATGGACCCTGGGATGTTGTCCTGGGCAACTCCTGATGCCTCCCAGCCATGACCCCCATGCTGTCTCCCTCAGGCTGGACCACCAGACCCTCCTCCAGGGCGTGGTGGTTCTTGAGGAATTCTGCAAGGAGCTGGCTGCCATCGCTTTCGTCAAGTTCCCCCCACACGGTCCTCACCTGCACCTCCCCCCTCCCCAAGAAGGGCACGTCTGAGCCAAGAGCAGGACCGGACGGGGGACTCCTTGTCCACACCTCTGCCCAAGAGCTGCCTCCCACCTGGCACTGCCGCCACCTCCCGCCTCCCAGGGTGGGAGCGTGGTTCCATCTCTACATCCCAGGTGTCTCTGCCTCTGAGGAAGCCTGGGCTTCCACTCCCAGGTTAACTCAAGAAGACCTTGGCCTGTCGGTCACACCAGACTAGGTTCAGGGAGTGGGTCTCCAAGGTACCAGAAGCCACGGAGCAAAAGAGGTGGCCTCCCAGACAGCATGGTGTCCTCGGGGCTTTCTCAGGGGAGCTAGGTCAATGTCAGGTGAGCACCCAGACCCAAACCTCGTGTGCTCTGTGCCTATCACCTGTCTCTACGGACCATGTGTGGTCAGGGCCAAGACCTGTAGCTCAATTCCAGGGGCACAGGGGGAGTGAGTGATGGCTCAGGCTGGTCAGGACTGTAGGCCAGAGAGATGGGGGCAAAGGAGCCTGGTCTCCGTCTTGCTAGGTACCACAGATGCTCCTGAGACTTGACATTTTTGTCTCCTGCCTTTTTGGCTTCACCTGTGGTGAAGGGGCAGTGGATGACAGGGGAAGCCCATTCTCCCTTTCCGGCCCTTTGGAGACAGTTGCAAAATTCCCAACCACCTCATGGCAAATGCCCAAAGCATGCTCCGCGCCCAGGCGGGGGCAGCTGCTAATGAGAGCCTTGGTGCAACTGCAGCCAGGGCGAGAGAGGGCTTGGGAAGTGGGGGGCTGGGTGCCAGGCTCCAGCTCCAGCTGGTTTCTCTCTGGCGTCTCTGAACCCGTCTCAGCAGGTCCTCGACACCTGGGCAGAGGGGATCAGAGACCAGGCCTGGCCCTCAGCATCTCACCCAGCCCACAGTGTTCTTGATGGAATACTCTTCCTGGGGAGCGAGGGAGCCGAGGGGAGAGATGAGGCCAGGATGGCCACCTGACCCCAAGCCCCCAAGGCCTAGCCGGGAGCTGCTGGGGCCCAGGCAGCCAGTTGTAGTGCTGTTCTCCCTGCATGCCCTTCACGGCTGGGGCTGCCACCCCACCTGGCCTGAATCTGTCTCAACCTGCTGGAACACACAGGCGGCGCCAGGCATTACCTCACAGCAGGACTGCAGTTGCTGGCTTTGCTCCTGGGCAAGGAGGAGCAGGCCAGAGCCCCTTTCGCTTCCTTTTCCTGCCTATGCCACTTCTAGAAGCCGGCCGCAGGTTGCCAGGAGGTGACATGAAAGAGGAGGAACTCAGTGACCTCTCCCTCTCCTGCATTCCTCCGAGCTGGGGAGGCCTTAACCGCTGCTGTGAAGGACACTGTGCATGCGTGTGCATGCGTGTGCGCGCACGTGGGTGTTGGCATGGGACAGGGGAGCAGAGCTCACGGGGCAAACTGGGTCTGAACTCTTCAAGTCAGAAAACGTTTGAGCATTCGGGAGTTACATATACTCCCCTCCTCCATCCCCTTCAGCATTCAGGCTGCATCCCCCCAGACAACACAGCAATAAATGGTTTGGTTGCGTGGACACAGCTGCCCCGTTCTCCACTGTTTGTGTCCTCCTGCGCAGGCCTCTGCTGCTCATTCAGGCCCATCTTCCTCCCCAGGAACGACAAATTCCTCTTCCAGCACTAGAGCGGAGGGGGGTGGTGTGCTGGGGGGCGGGTGGTAAATAGAGACAGGCTCTGGCAGCGCAAATCTGATGTTCCTCAGCGCCTGCCAGGAACCAGGCTCTCTCTTGGCCAAGCCACACTGCTTCTGCCCAGCTTACCTTCAGCTGAGAGCCAGCCGGCCTCAGAGACTCTGGGAAAGAACGGGCCCTCTGAAGCATCTGTATGCAGGTCTCATTTTGAAGTGTTTATGTTGTGAGTTGTACGAATGCCTTAGCGGACTTCATATTTTAAAAACTTTGTCCCTAGATGTATGTGTGTGGGGATGTGCTCAGGAGGGGTAGCTGAGAGACCTCTAGGAGAGAACAAGTGGGAAACTCGGTGAGGGCTGCTGAGTGGCTCTCACCTCAGTGCATGTCAGATCACTTGGTTTGCTTTTTATAATACCAGTGAAAGCCGTGTCTCTGGGGGTTGGCCCAGCATTGTTTTTAAAGCTCTCCGGGTAATTCTAATGGGCACCCAGGGTTGAAAACTACTATAGGCTAAATAAAGTGGGAGCAAAGATTGCCCTTCAACGTGAATATGGACTGGTGAGTCCCTCAGACCCTGAGAGAAGTGAACCAGAGTTAAAGGGTTTGGTTCCATCATGTGGAACATGTTTGTCCTCAGGGGGGAAGAGGATTCCTACCACAGCCTAAAAGCCAGAAAGTTAAGATGGCAGCCAAGAGAGGATGGGAAGGGGGTCTCCAGGTGATCCTGGGCCTTGGGTGTCAGAGTGGAGTTACCTCAGAAGGGAAGCCTCGTCAAGTATTTTCCTTGCTCAGAACCACAAACCTGTATTACATGCAGTGACTAGCACTCGATATATCTTCTTTGTTCACTTCCTGTGTTTTTTTCCCCCTTAAATTTTAGTAAAGTTCTTTAAAAAAAATTTTTTTTTAAATCGAGATTCTGCTGAACTGAAGGGAAATGAATAAAAGGTTTTGGTCTGGGTTGGGCTGGAGTTGTAGAAAGGCAGAGGCAGGGGCCTGGAAGTCGGCAGAGCGAGCGATGCAGGGAGGGAACAGGGAAGCCCAAGGAGATGAAACTTTGCCGAGAGGCCGCTCTCACAGCTCCTTGCCACCTGGAGTTTCTGGTGTTCTCCCTGCTCAAACTTTGGAGGGGATGTGGACACCTCCCACCCTGGCAGACGAGAGAGAGAGCCCCAGTGGGCCACAGACGCTACAGTGGACGGCGGGAAGTCAGCCTGCCCCAGTCACCTGTGGTGGGAGATGCCAGCTTGCTGTCTGGGAAGATGGGGGGCGGGGGGGTTAGGACAAAGGGAGGAGCTTCTTTTTTGCTGCGGTCCCCTCTTCCTGTTCACTCCCTCCCCACAGAGACAATTAAGCAGGAAGGCAAAGTAAGTAACACATATTTACTCAGCAAGGGGCCCACTCCCTTGGAATGACCTCCCTCAGTACCCAATCCGTGTTTAGGTGCCTGAGAATCCGATGCAGGCCTTTACTGAGGCAAGCATGGAAGATGACAGAGTAGGTTCGTGATGACGAGTAGCCATCTCAGGTTCAGAAGGTTCTCACATCCATCCCCTTAGGGAGGAGTGCTCTCTTTGTGCCCATGGGGCAATTAGGTCCTTGAGCTCTGGCTCCTTGTTAAAGGCACTGTCCTTTCGGTGCAATGTAGGGACCAGCTCCATGGAGAAGGAAGTTCCCCGGACAACTAGGAGAACTGCCTGCTCCCAACACAACCAGATCCCCGACCGCCAACCTCCTGCCTCCCTCAGAGGCAGCAAAGCCCGGTGGGGGAGCACAGTTGCCCAGCTCCTTGTACAGAGACGGCACCTTTCTATCTGTTGATTGGAACAACAGAGGATTCCCGAAGCTTCTGTAAGAGCTGCCTTTGTAGGTCTTCCTCCATCACCTTCCACCAAAAATAGTTCTCCCCCCGAACCTTTGGGGGCTCCCTCTGCATACCTGGGTTCCGAAAAGCCACAGTCACCAGCACATTCAAGCAGATGCCATCTGCATGGTCTTTGCCCAGGTGCTGCAGTCCAAGCAACCCCTTGGTCTCCACCACCAAGTGGTGAAGGGTCAAACACTCCTGTAGCAGCCGCAGGATGGCCATCTTGATGCCACCCCTCTGCTCCATGGGAGTGAAGCCACAGGCAGTGATGGGCAAGTGAGGCATCCCCACTGTGCCCACCAGCACCCACACTGTCTGGACGCTGGTAAAGGTGGCTATGAGCCGCTGGCAGACCAGACTGCAGGGAAGCTCCTGGGGCAGAATAAGAGGGTGCCTGGCTTGCTGGCGGTGCTGGGCAGCTAGCTCCACCAGGTGCAGAATATCCTGGGCTCGCAGCGGAGTGGGCAGGGAGGTCCGTGGGTACCAGCCAGCCTGCAGGGACTCCGCATCTGCCTCCTTGGGAGTCTTGAGAATTCCACCTGCAAGGGGTGTCGAGGATGGGGTGGGGGAAAGGGGCTCTATTGAGAGAAATGCTGGGCCTGGCAGAGTAAATGGCCACCCAGGTATTCTAGCCCTGACCCAGGGTCGTGGGGCTGTGGGGGCTAGGAGTCAAATCTTCAGGCTGGAATCTGGAGATGCCAGGCTTATACCAGACAGAATTAGGGGCTCATCTCACCAGAGGATAAGTTGGGGGAAAGGTGTAAACTGCCCCCTGCCAATACCTGTGGCTTGAGCGAGGAACACAAAGCGGATCCAGGAGGGGCCCCGCTCCTCCACAGACAGCAATGTCAGAGGCTCACAGTGCAGCCCAGCCTCCTCCTTCACCTCCCGCTGCAGTGCCTCAACGATGGTCTCCCCAGGCTCCATTCTCCCCGCGGGTAGGTACCAGGACCCATGGCACTCTTTCTTGGCCTCCTGGATCAGTAGCACCTCATCCTAAGGGGAGAGAGAGGATCCTCACCCCCACCACAGCTGGGCTGGGAACCTTCCCTTGCCCTGGGGTTAGATCCTATCTCAAACAGAGTCACCCAACACCCCCTTATTGGCAGATACCTCAAATTGTTGACTGGCCCTTGTGTGCGTGGGGGTTGCAGCTGTCTCGCTGCACAATGTATCCCTCTTTGCTTTCAGACTTCCTTTTCAGAAAAGGGCTAAGATTCCTGGGAGCTGTTTCAGGGGCTGGGGATTAGGCCCCACGGTGAGGTTTGCCATGTGTCCTCCGCTGACTGTGTCTGTAGATGTATTAATAGTAGACATCCCACCTCCCCTCGTGGAGGGACCTCACACTGGGGCCTAGGCTTTGAAACACAGCCCCCGGCCCTACGCCATAAACTCCTCCCTACAGCCCTGGCCCCTTCTAGCTGTTGTCGCAACTTATACAGGGATCAGCACAAAAAACATCACACGGTGGGGCAGAAAGTCTGAGTGTAAGTGCAGGTTGTGCCATTACTGTCCATGGGACCCAGAGGAGGTGTCTGAAGCACTGGATAGATCTGAGCCCACTCCGTAGCGGGCACTACGCTAGATTCTGGGGAAAGAAGACTGCCCTCCTCTCAAGACAGTGAGGCCTAGTAGGAGGAAATAAACAGGTTCCTGGGCCTCAGATCCCTCTTCGGTATATAGGTACAGTCTCCGGGATGGGCTGCACAAAGCTCAGATGTAAGTGTGAGTGTAGGTGCTTTGCAAAACTGGGAAGCACCACGCACTAAGAAGCGGTGGCTGTTGTCGGTAGATCCTCTGTCCCCACCGGGACTGGCTGCGCGCTCCGGAGGGCCAGGCGCTGGGCCCGGCGGGCGCACGCTCACCTGCTCGTTGAGGAACACGGCCAGCACCACGTAGCAGACGTTCTTCCGCAGCCGGACCGGCGCTGGCGGCTCCTCGGCCGGCTCCGAGTCACAGCTGTGCACAGGCAGCCCCTGGCCCCCCAACACCGCCGCCAGCGCCCGGGCCAGACCCTCCGAGGCCATCGGGTCCCCTGGGAGGCGGCGGACGGGCGACCGCAGATGAGTCGGACCGGGTGGGTTGCGATGCGGGTGAGACGGCGGTCAGTCGCCCTCGCCCCCTCCCCCCTGCCGACTCAGGCCGGGAGCGTTCGCGAACGCGGAAGCGCCCGGCGAGCCCTGTCCGCTGATAGGCTACGCGTCACCGTGGGCTTCCCGGATTGGCTGGCTCGCGTCAGCGACTGAGAGGCGGGGCCAGTCCGTAAGGGGTCCAGGAGCCGCGTCCCCGCAGTGTGGGCCTCGCACCGGCCTCAGCTTCTCGATCGGTTACGCCCCTCCCCCGCCTCTCTCCCGGCGTCTCTAGCTGCCAGCTTCGCTAATTTCTCCAGCAAGCACTTGTCTGCGCGAGTTCGGACCGTGACGTCATCGTGCCTGCAGGCTGCGGAGCGCCACAGTGGCCAGCGACGATGACGTCACAACAAGCCGATGACATCACAGAGGCCCGGGGCTGTGGCTTGGACTTCCACTGTGCAGCTGTGGTCGTACACATACCATGGTATTACCCGAATTGAACCCTTCCCAAATAATCTTTCTTCACAAAAAATGTACATCATGTTACCGTAGCAGGAGGAGCAGTAGTAGCTCCTGCCTTCAGAGAATCTGACCTTGGGAAAGTGGACGTAAACGTATAATCGAAAGTCATCTGAGGGTTTGTGCTAAATGATTGGCTTGGTCAAGAGGTGTGACAGGTGCTCAGAGGAGGGAGGGAGCAGGGCTGGGATGGTCAAGTTGTGGCTGGAGATGGGAGGAGGGGATTGGGGGCAGAAGGAGGTTCTGGAATCAGCCAGCCCAGCCTTCATCGATATCCTGGCCCCCTGGCCACTGCATTTCCCACACAGTTTTAGGGCCCCCTCCACTGAAGACCGAAAGCCCTGCGGAGGGCAGGGACCAGGTCCTGCTCCTCCTTCTTTGTCTGCCACCCCACCCCCCTCATACACACACCCAGCTCACAGGCCTGGTGGCCTGGCACATTGAGAGCAGGGTGTGGGTTGTTTTGGCGAGTTCCTACTTCTCTCCCAGACTGACCTTTCCTCCTCAGAGCTTCCTTTACCTACTCTCAGGACAGTAGGGCAGGGCCAGCTGGAGTGAAACTGTGGAGCCAGCCAACTGTGGGCTTCTCATCCTCGGTTGGTTCTCCCCTTTCCCTGCCTGCTGGCTTTGTGTACCTTCCTTTTGGGAGCTTGGTGGAACAGACAAAGCATTGCACTTGGAAGCAGATGTCTGGCCACTGCTCACTGGCTGGCTCTGTGCCCTTGGATAAATTGTTGGCCTCAGTTTCCTCATCTGTACAGTAGGCTCATACTAGCTCTTCTTTCACAGAGTTGTTGGGAAGGTGAGATGTCATGGGAGGAGCTCTATAGACTCTTCAGTGTGGGTCACCATGACCAGGCGGCCCAAGCCCTCAGGGTGAGTCCTTCTGGCCACAGCTCTTGTTGCTGCCACACAAAGGCAAGCTGTCATGAAATATGCCTACACGACCGCCACAGAACTATACCCTCAGGAATTCCAGTCACACCAGATTGCCCTCTTTAGGCCCTTCTCATGTAGAGAGCTGGCTGCAGTTCCCTGGAGACAGGACCCTGCATTTGATGGTGGAATGTCCCTGCCAGGCCCACAATCTTTTCAGGTACTTGATGAACACTGCTGCCCCCAGCCCTATCCCGAGCCAGGCCCCCAGGACTGTGAAGCAACTTGTCGACATATGTGTGTGTGTGTGTGTGTGTGTCCACAGGTCGGTTTTCACATCTGTGAAGTGGGAACAGCATTGGTCCCAGACTCCTTTCTGCCTCCCAGGGATGATTTGAGAGAGAATGAGGTCATGTCTGGCAGAGCTCTGAGAGCCTCAGAGGCAGCCTAAGATAAACACCAGACCGCCTGGAAGAGCAGACTGCAAGAAACCACGGCTCCACTCCCCCATTATCACTGGGAAAAGCACTCCTCCCCTGTTAAGTGGACCTAATCACCCCTGTGGTGAGGAGCACACAGGCAACAGGAAAGCCCCTTGTAAACTGAGAAGGGCTGCGCAGGCAGAGGGCCCTCCAGGCGCTGTACCCAGCCCTTCTGGAAGTGTGGAGGGGGACAGCAGAAAGTAGGCTTTCTCAAGGCATTGGATGGAAGACAGCACACACCAGACTAAGACAGCAGAGGCCCTAAGACTGACAGGAAAAGCTAAGGGAGGAAGGGGTCTGAGGGAGAAGCCACCAGAGCCAGAAACAAAGAAAGTTCTGAGTTAAAGTTGCCCTGTATCCTCCACTCCCAGAGAGCCACTGGTTGATCAGGGGGTGGGGGGTGGGGGAGGGCTTCCCAGCATGGTGGACAAGCATGGCCAAACTGGTAGACTGCATAGTACAGGACTCCCAGCATCCACAGGAGCAAAGCCTGAGGCAGCCAGTTCAGAGCACGTGGACACACATGCGCATGTGAGCACATGTGCAGGAAGGCAGTGTAGGCCACCTTGGAAACAGGGCCAGGGATGGGCAGGCGGGGTGGGGCAGGGTGTCTGTGATTCTGGAGGCCTTTCCAGAGCAACAAATGCTGTCCCTCTGCAAAGCAGAAGATTGAGGAGGGCAGTAGCCCAGGGTATACAGGGAGGGGGAGGTTTGGCTCAGCCCGTGCTCTGCCACTAGCTGGCTGAATGACCTTGGGGGAGCCACATCTCCCCTCTAGGCCATCTGCAACATGCAGGCATAGGTGGATCCTGAAACAGGAAAAGGACATTAGTGGAAAACTGGTGAAATCCCAAGAAAGTCTGTTGCTTAGTTAATAGTGTTCTATCAATAGGGGTATCTGGGTGGCTCAGTTGGTTGAGCATCCGACTTCGGATCAGGTCATGATCTCACAGTTCGTGGGTTTGAGCCCCGCGTCGGGCTCTGTGCTGACAGCTCAGAGCCTGGAGCCTGCTTTGGACTCTATCTCCCCCTCTCTCTGCCCCTCCCCAACTCACACTCTGTCTCTCTCTCTCAAAAATAAATATTGAAAAAAATGTTTTTAAATAGTGTTGTATCAATAACAATTTCTTAGTTTTGATCACTGTGCCATGTGTGTGTAAGATGTTAACATGAAGCAAAGCAGGATGCAGGGTAATCAGGAACTTCCTGTACTACCTTTGTGACTCGACTGTAAATCTAAAATCATTTCAAAATTAAAACTCCAAAAATGCACTTTATAAGAAAAAAGAAAAAGGCAGCACTGCTAATCTGCATGCAGAAGTCACTTCCGGTGCTGAGGATTGTGCTTCTGTGTTATCTGGGCCAGTGAGAGGGGCTGGAGTAGACAGTGGACAGTAGGGGTGCTGGGAGAAGCAGAGCCCCCAAGGGTAGTGCTGGACTGGGGTGGGCCAGCTGAGCCTCCATGAGGAAGAGTGCCACCAAGTGCCCCCAGATGTCTCAGGGTCAGTCCCCACCTGGACTGGCTTCGTGCCCAGGGCCAGTCCTAGAACATTTGGTCCACCTGATGTTTGCAAGAGTCAGGTCCAACGTGCCCTTGAGGGTGCTATGAACTGCATGAGGTGGGAGGCGGCAGAGAGTTCTGTGGAGAAGAGAGAGGCCTGGTGACTGGGCCATCTCTGTCTTCCCACAGGAAGGACCCCGCGTTTGGGGTTCTGGGTTGACATTAGGACACAGCTATACTAGGTGAGGTGTAAGTGGCGACGGGTCGCACAGTGCCACTTGGAACATGATCAGCTGTACGGTGTGTATGTCAGAAGGAGGACAGAACAGCAAGCCCATCTGCAAAGTCCATTAAGGACCGAGACTAATATAAACGAGACTCAAGTCAGGAAGCTTGGTTCAAATCCCAATCCTGACACTAAAATTGCTGCGTGACCTTGGGTGACTCAACCCCAGCCTGCCTCTTTCCTCTTCTGTAAAATATATATAAATAATATCTACCTCAAAACCATGATAAGGGATTAAATGAGATCAATTAAATGAAAACAGTGGCAGAGTAAAGTGTAGGACTTCCTTCATTTTTTCTTTTTTCTCTATCCGGTGAAAAAATGAAAATAATCTTGCTTTGCAAACAATGAAGAAACCTAATTTTTTTAAGTGTGAGATGGTTATGTAAATCACAGGAAAGCCACAGAAGGGAATATAAGCAGCCATTTAAAATGAAGGTTACACAGCCACGCAGAAAGTGACCACAGCACAGTGTGAAAAGGAAAAAAATCAAGTACAAAACACATCAATTCAATCATGTATGAAACCCTTAGAGAAAATACAAGAAAATACACCATTAATGCTAATAGTGGTTGGGTCGGCGGGGGTGAGGGGAGGTGAGCTTACAAGTGACTTTTTCCTATTTTCTAAATGTTCTGAAAGTATATTACATTTATAATAAAAAATTTTATTTCATTAAAAAAAAAAAAAAAAAGCACACACAACAAACCACTCCCCGAGCCACTGCAGGAACACTTAGTATAACAAGAGCTGGACAGTGCTGGCGCTAAGATGTACGAGGGCAGCGGGGCAGGCAGAGTCAGGCCGCAGGGCCCTGGGGGTGGGGAGGGGCTGCCAACTGTCTCGGGCAGCAAGCCAGACCCCGGGTAGCGGGCCTGGGGCCAGCCACGGGCACCGAGGGCAGACGGCAAGGCAAGGGTTCTCCTGGGCCACACTCGCGGTTCTGCAGGTCAGGGCAGACAGGAGAGCTGGGGTGGCCTGAAGTGCGCATGCGTGTTGGGGCTCCGGGGCTCTGCAGCCAGTGCACCCAGGAAGGCTGCCGCGCTGCTGCCCCCAGGGCTCTGCCTTGCCCACGTCTGCTGTCAGGAACATCCTCAGGGGAAGACCCCTGGAACGTTCCATCCGCTCCTCGGTGGGAAAAGGATCCAGGCCCCAGGAAGAAGAGCAGGCAGGGGTGTTTGAAGTCCCTGTCATGACCCCCATGCCCGTCCCACTCCACTTCCTTATCTGCTCCCTGCCCCCGCCCCCCCTTCCCCCCAGTTCATGTGGCCCGCAGGAGCAGGGCCAACCACTCCAGCAGCATTCACAGAACAGACTTTAATGGAAATCATGAAGGAGGGAGGCGAGAAGAGGGAGCAGGGACAGGGCATCACCCATATCGTTCCCTCCAGCCAAGCCTGGGCAGTGTCCTGATGCCACCGCCTCAGCACACCTCACTGTTCTCTGGTAAGAGGGCGGGATTTCGGTGGCGCCTTGTCCAGCATGCCTGCAGTGTGAAGGGCCACCTGGAGCCCAGTGGAGATGCGGGTGGTGTAAGCAGAGCACGGGCACGGGTGGGGCAGTAGGGGATGAGGCAGCACAAGGTGTTGCTTGAGCCAGAATGATTCCCGAGGTCCCCCAGGGAAGGGCTGTTTGTCTCCTGGGCTCAGGGGGCAGGGGGTGGAGGGAGTCATCCATCCCCAGTGTGGGCCTGGTACCATAGCAAGGGATGCAGGGACAGCAGGTGCCAGCCTGCGAAGGGCCAGTGTGAGCTCCAAACGTACCGTGGTTGTTGGCTGAAGGGCCCAGGTTGGAGCGGGGAACAGGGTGCGCTGCCTATGCCCAGAGTGGTGCTTGAGGATTGACTCTAAAAGTCCCCAAGTTCCCCAGCATCATCCTCTGCTGAAGCTGTGCCTGGACTGAGCACTTGCCCCCCAGCCTACCCGAGACACTGGGGATACCCCTATTTAGCCTCCTGTAATGTTCCCACAGCCACCTTCACTGCTTGAAACACAGCCCAGTCCATCTAGGAGAAAAAGAGAGGAAAAGGTGTTTACAGTCACATTCCTGGGCTCTTCCCACTGAGAGTGCCCTTCCTGGGCTCAGGCTGGTTGCTTGCTTGGCACAGAGTGGATCTGCTATGCTTCCCCAACTGCCCTCCTGGCCAGTGTCACACTCACCTGAGCATAAAGCAGGCGGTGATCAGGGGGCAGGCTGGGTCCCTGGTGGCAGAGCTGAGCAGAGAGGGCAGAGGTCTCCGGGGACAGGAAGTGCTGAGTGACACTCACTGTGCTTACTAGGCCCTGCACCTGTGCCAGACAGGAGGTGTGCAGAGGGTCAGTGGAGACTCGGGCTCACATACCCTCCCCCTGCCCCTCTTCTCCCTGAGGTCTACTTCCCATAATGACCCCCACCCAGCTTTCAGAGAGCAGAGGCCCTGGATCCAGCACCAGGCAACTCAAAGGGGGAGGCCAAAACCAAGCCAAGGGGATGCCAGAGATGGCACAGGAGGGTAGGCAACCGAGGACAAGAAGCTCAGTTTGGCTAGCTGACTCCAAGACCGCGCAGCTTCTCCTCTTCCTTACAATGGGGCATGACTTCCCGCCCTGCCTAGCTTCAGGGCATCGGGAGGGGCGAGTATGGAGCAGGCTGGGGGACGCTGTATCACTGTGGTGTCTGCTCCTGCCGCTTCTCATAGTCTGAGCTCTCTGCTGAGCCCTTGGCTTGCTGGGGAAGCACCTGGTGGGGAGCCCCCGCAGGCACCAGCACGGCCTCTCCAGGGGCCTGCAGCAGGGTCCAGCAGCTCACGCCCCACTCCTCCCGTAGGCGCCGCCGCAGGCCAGCGTCCAGGTAGCAGCTGCCCGGGGTGCCAGGCTCCAGCTTGCCTGCTCCAGCCGGGCACACCTCAAAGAAGAGAAGGTGGAATGAGTAAGGCGGGGAAACAAGAACAGGGCTGCAGGATGGGGCACAGACTTCCTGAAGGCCAGGGCGCAAAGGCCAAGAGCTGAAGCCGTCAAATCTTGAGGGGCAGGCAGAGGAGGTCATCGGGGTGGGAGAAAGGGCTGGATGGTGAGAAACCGGGGCTGCTCAAGTTGGCTGAACAGAGATTTGGCTGGAAAGAGCTTAGAGGAAAGGATTTGGGACTCTAAGCCTGGGAGTCTAAACCCCCACTTTTCTTGGGGTTAGATGCCTTGAATAGGCACTGTGTCCCTGGTCCTTTCTCCAAAACCCAGAAAGCTACCCTGCGTAATCCCAACTCATAAACTGTCTACATGAGGAGATCTTGACCTGGAGTCCCATGAACGTCCTGAATTGCGTGCTAAGTTGTAGGTGACTACATAGCTGTATGTCCTCGAGGAGATGATCTAAAGCATTAATCAGATTCTTCTAAGATCCCAGATCCAGCAAAGGCCACACTGAAGTTCTGATGCCCAGTGGAGGTACAGGCCTGCCTGCTAGGCAGATGCCTCTGGAACAGGTGTGGCTATGGGGAGGCCTTCGTCAGCCCAACCAGAGTGGGGAGCTCTTTGGGCAGACAGGGATCCGTGGGGGCCAGAGAAGGAGATGCCCAAGGGATAGCTGCAGGGGTCAATGCCAGCATCATGCTCCAACTGGCCGCTAGACAAATCCACCCCTTCACCAGGACCTCAGCAATTGTCCCTGGACTTAGGACTCAGGCTTCCAAGACCGGGCCATGGGGAAAGGGGAGGCTGGTGTGCCAGGCTGGGGATGCCTAGGGTAGCCCCAGGAAGGCGCCCAGGCTCTTTTGTCCTCAGGGTCCATCCTGGAGTTAGATCAGTGTTC